TGGCCTCTAACTCAAAGAGATCCACCTGCCTCTGCCTCAGAATTTCTGGAATAAAGGCGTGCCTGGCTCCATCTGCAGTCTTGTAGTTTTCAGGGCCAGACAATACCAGAATTGCCTATAGATTCTGCCTCATAGAATTCACAAAATTGTATACACTCTTCATTTTCAGAACCTAGTATTTCATAGATATATAGAGAAATATGAGGTAGCTGCCTTTTAAATCCCATAAACAAAACACTGAGTGATTATTTGCTCATGGGAATACAGTTATGATCACAGTTTTTCTTATTTAATGGTAGGAGGGGGTGATTGTGACACTTTGGCTTGGAGTTCTGTGTGTCTTGGTTGACTAATGGGATATTGATAACTTTGAAGACATCAGAAAGGTGCCATGTTCCTCACTTGGGGCTTGGCTCTCTTTTCTGTTCTCAGAATGAAAAGATCCTTCCCCAAATAGTCATCTCCACAAGTCTCCTGACAGAACACATTTATAATGACCTAACCCGCAGGTGACCAGAACCTAGAACAGGGTTACCCAGCCAGTATTAATATTGATCAACCAAACCACAGTCAGCTAAATAACACAGGAGCATAAGGGTAAATGCTTATTGGAGCTGGTCTGTTAGCTCTGTGCTGACCATAGGCGACTCACATAAATGAACCTAAAAAGCCAAGAGTTCTTTAATATTACAGGGTTTTTTTCTTTTGTATGTATGTTAGTATAGGACATATATTGTAAAAGCTGGTGATGTACCTCAGTACTTGATTTTCCCAGATTGCATGAGGTCCTGGGTTTGAACCCCAGCACCCCCCACACACACCCTATGGCTTTCAGAACTCAAGCTTGTTCTATGACATAATAAACATATACGTAAAGCCTAGGTTCGCTGCCTCCAACCAGTGTAGCTTGCGTATTTACATTTTTAGGGGCACTCATTTTTATCCAACAGAGATTAAAATATAGGTAGTCCAGGCTACCCTGTAACTTGACAGCCTCCCGAGTTTACCTCTGGTGCTGGGTTATAGGCATGTGCCACCATGCCCAGCTGTATAGCTGGCCTTTGTTTTATTTTGAGGTATATTTTCCCTATACCTGAATTGTTTTGTGTTGTTTTTGAGGTCAGGTCACATTCTGTAGTTGAGGCTGGTCTGGAAGTCATGCTTCTCCTGTGTCAGCCTGTTTAGTGCAGGGCTTACCGTGTGTGCCGCCATCTGTGGGGAGGGTTTATCATAGGTGGCTGGTGGGTTTTGTTAGATAATGTTTTGTCTTTCGTTTGATTAATGTGGTTCATCTTCTCTCTAGATTTATGTATGTTGAATCATCTTTCCACCCTTGATATAAATCCCACTTGGTTGTGACAGATGATTTTTGTGGGGAATTTTTCTGTATGTGTTCACCAGGGATATTTATCTGAAGGTTTTTGTTTGTTTGTTTTGTTTTGTTCTTTTTTAAACATTCATTTGTGGGTATGGGTGTGGGTGCTTACATGCCACAGAACGTCAGTTCCCTCCTTCCATCATGTGGGATCTGGAGATTTAACTCAGGTGATCAGGCATGGCAGGAAGTGCCTTTACCTGCTGGGCCTTTCCTCTCCCTGTCCCTACCTGAGGGAGGCTTTTCTCCAGTGTTCTGTCGCACTCTGGTGTCAGGGCAGTGCTGGCTCATACAGTGAGTTGGAAACGTTCCCTCCTCCAGTTTTCAAAGGGGTTGGTAAGATTGGCCCCGCTTGTTCATGAAGCGTTCAGTAGCATTCTCCTGGTCTTTTGTTCTCATTGTCTTGCTCTGGGCACAAACTCAAATATTTATGAGCAAAATCCCACCCAGTCTGACAGCTCTGCTCTTGATTATGAATGTGATTAGATTCAAAGGTCACTCCACTCCTTATGTAGTTGCAGTGACCATTCCCGACAGGGCTTGCAGAATTCCAGCCTGCTATGTGATGGAAAGTGAATGGACATAAGCAAAGTCTGGGTAAGCTGCTTGCAACTGTAGCTTCCTCAGGTTTTTAGGGACACTCATTTTATCCACGGAGATTAAAACAGAGAAACAAATGATGCTTTTCAATATAGCATACAACCAGCAGATAGATACACTATGGCACAGGGCCTTCTGTCGTATCCCATGCACACCGGTGACGATAGTGGTGATGCACACGAACTGATACAGCCCGAGTTCAGTAGTTAGAAGTGGAAGGAGAGAAGCGCACCCCAGAGTTGTTCTCTCATCTCCACAGTGCACTTTGTGGCATTTGTGTATCCTCACATCACACACGTACACACATCAATAGTGATGAAAACTTTTTTTTTAAAGATTTATTTATTTATTATGTATACAGAAGAGGGTGCCAGATCTCATTACAGATGGTTGTGAGCCACCATGTGGTTGCTGGGAATTGAACTCAGGACCTCTGGAAGAGCAGTCAGTGCTCTTAACCTCTGAGCCATCTCTCCAGCCCTGAAAACCTTTTAAAATAGATAAAATTAGTATCCAGGCTTTTCCTTTTGGATATAGACATTTTAATAGCCTCTAACTCTTCACAGTGAAGGTGTACGTCCGTGTGTACACACACACACACACACACACACACACACACACACACACACACACACACACACACACACACACAGAGTTTGGGTTTCAAATAAGTTCCAGGGCTAGAGACTTAGCTCAGTTTTTATTTTTATTTTATGTATGTGGATCTTTTTGCCTGCATATATGTCTGTGGATCACACCCTTGCAATGCTATGGAGGCCAGAAAAGGGCATCAGATGCCCTGGAGTTGGAGTTACAGACGTGTGAGCTGCCATGTGAGGAATGGGACCCAAGCCTAGGTCCTCTGGAAGAGCAGCCAGTGTTCTCAGCAGCTGAGCCAGCTCTCCAGCCCTTTTTAATAAAAATGCATGCTTAGCATGCCATTAAACTATGAGAGTGATCCCCAGCACTACCAGCATCATCCCCAAAATGTCCTAAGACCTGAGGTTAAATAAAGTATTGCTGTCATTCGGAAATATCAGCCAGTGATATTTACTGGGCACTTTTTGTGTGTTTAATTTTGTCCCTGATTCTGTAATTTGGAAGGATAATTAAGACCTGTGTTCTTAGGAAGCCCACCTCAGGTTAAAAGATTAATATGTTGAGCTGGAGAGATAGCTCCATGCTTAAGAGCATTTACTGCTCTTGCAGAAGACCCAAATTCAGTTCCTAGCATCCATATGGGAACTCACAACAGCCTGTAACTCCAGTTCCAGGGGATCTGACACCCTTGTCTGGCCTCCTCAGGCTCCTGTGTGCATGTGGTGCACATGAACTTAGACGCAGGCACACACATATAAACAAACTAAAACAAAGCTGATTGTGATGTCCAGAAAGAGAAAAATGAGCTTTCTTGGTACCTGAATGATAAATAATCCAGTTAGTAGTGCTAGGGAAAAGTTAATCAGTGGTCCAGGACAAAGTGTTGTTCTTGTCAGAGAGATCCCAGTGATGGCGTTGGGAGTGGAACAAAGGGTGATAGTGGAAGATAGGCTGACTGAGGACCTGTTGTGACAGGTTCTGAGAGTGGCCCTGAGAAGTGGATTTCCAGGGCAAGGGTGGTCATTGCCTGTTATCCCGCTGGGAACAAGACAAGAGACCCTTAAATTCCAGACTGGCCTGGACCAACCTATCCTCCACCTGTACCCCCACTACACACACACACACACACACACACACACACACACACACACACACACACACCCCAGAAGGGGACTTTTTTTTTTTTTTTTTAGACTGAGACTCTCTCTGTAGCCCTGGCGGTCCTGGAACTGGCTCTGTAGACCAGGCTGGCCTGGAACAGAGATCCGCCTGCTAGTGCTGGGATTAAATGCGTGTGCCACCACCATCCGGCTGAAAATAACAGTTCTGAAGGGAATAAGGAATAATTTGTTCTGAGTTCAATATGGGTGAACATGAATAGGGGTTCAGATTGCCCTGAATGTCATGTTCCAAGTAGAAATGGTCTCGTAAATTTTATAGTCACATAACAAAAGATGGTCGTAAGTCAGTGCATTGATGGAAAACATCGTTGGGGAAAGCAGACGAACAAGTTAACAAAGCTTTGTGGTTAGCAGGACTGAAGATAGACCACCATTATTGTGGCCCTAGATCTGCAGCATTCTGACTCCACAACGAGGTCAGTCAGTCCATTTGCAGAGTCTTCAGTGTAGGTGCGGCTTTTTCAGAGAAAACACTTGTCATCACAGCCCTTGGAGGCTGAGTCAGGAGGACAAAGAATTCCAAGGCAAATTTGGCTCCATTAAAAACTCGTCTCAAGCCGGGCGGTGGTGGCGCACGCCTTTAATCCCAGCACTCGGGAGGCAGAGCCAGGCGGATCTCTGTGAGTTCGAGGCCAGCCTGGACTACCAAGTGAGTTCCAGGAAAGGCGCAAAGCTACACAGAGAAACCCTGTCTCGAAAAACCAAAAAAAAAAAAAAAAAAATCTCAAGCCAGGCAGTGGTGGCCCACACCTTCAATCACAGCACTCGGGAGGCAGAGGCAGGTGGATCTCTCTGAGTTCGAGGCCAGCCTGGGCTACAGAGTGAGTTCCAGGACAGCCAGGGCTACACAGAGAAACCCTGTCTTGAAAAACAAAAAATCAGGTGCGTGATGTCTTTGCAAATCTGACGCTGTACTTCTAGAATTGCCTTACTGCCCCAACCCCAGTTAGGACTGCAGGAGGCTAAGGTCACCCTGTAAGGCCAGTGCTCTCAGGAGTATAGGAGCTTTACAAACGTGTTTTTGTGTGGATCGCTCTTTCCCAGTTTCAGGCAGTCCTTCCGCCCGCACATGTACTGGCTGCAGTGATTGCTGCTGCAAACAGATTTGGGCAAGTTTTTAACCAGCCCGCTGTTAATTCAGTTGCTTGTCTGTCCACACTAGGCACTCTGCTGCCCATATCGGCTGTCCCTTGTACCTTCCTTGAAGAAGTGTTCATGACCTTATTCTTTGTTGTTCATTACAGTGTGAACCGCTGCCCCATGCTGTGTTGATGCTGGTCTGCCATGCTAGCCTGTCTACCAGGGCCAGGTGACCTGTCCTTTCAGCTTCTCTCTCACACGCAGATGAACACTGGACTTCAGAAATGTAAGTAATCTGGATGCCCTGTGTTTTGTCCCAGCATCACGTCTGTGATGCGCTGACCATGAATTTTGGTACTTCAAGGTAGTCATGGGCTGACATTGCAGGACAGCAGCCACAAAGGACTTGTCTGTCAGCAGTGTGAGACACTTTGTGATCAGAGAAATCTCTCAAATCCTACCGTTCCCAGTGTGTGTGAACTTCGCTTGTTACTAGTAGCTTTCTGCTGCACAGCAAAGCCACAAGGAACTTCAGTGGATGTGTATCGTACGACCCTTCAAAGAAATGTTCCCTTTCAACCCTGTGAGGTGCTGAGTGAAAACTCATTGCCAGGGTTGGAGAGATGGTTCAATGGTTGAGAACACTGACTGTTCTTCCAGAGGACCCGGGTTCAATTCTCAGCACCCATATGGCAGCTCACAGCTGTCTGTAACTCCAGTTCTTGGAGATCTGACATCCTCACACAGACATACATGCAGGCAAAACACCAACGCACATTAACAAAGAAAGACAAGGAAACTGAGTGTCCAGCTCCCTTTTGTGTCTCGGAAGTGACTGTGTACGCTGTTGGTGAGTCCTTGGTCTCTGAATGTGGTCTGCCAGGGACACAAGACCGTTCCCCTTGCCTTGCTCTCGGCCCTCTGAGCCAGCATGACTTCTGCTCACAGAAATAAAGAGGCTTTTCCTCCAGGAGTCTGGAGCTGACTGCCTCGGTTTCTCTGGGTGTGTTTGTCTAACAGTGTGCTTCCCCCTGATTGAACCTCTGAGGACTGTTAGATTCCTGTCTTAATTACATTACATTGGAGCATTGTAATTCACTTTTCTCAGATTTCTATTTCTGTCTCTGCACTACATGATATGCAAGGGAAATATTCTTTATTTCTGACCCACTATTACATGTAGAGTGTCTAAGTATAAAAACAGCCCTAAATTTGGAGTAAACCTTTTTAAATCAAAAGGGGGCAACTGGTGAGGCAATGGGGCTTTCTTCAATGCTGTGCACTTTACCTGAGTTCTTCATGGCAGCCATTGGCAAACTTCCTCCATAAGTGCCAGGAAGCCAATATTTTGAGCTTCGTGGGCCATAGTTGCTGTTTCATCTACTTAGCTCTTCTGTTGTAGATCAAAAGCAGCCATAGACAACATGGAAACTGACCCGTGTAGCTTCATTTCAGTCAAATTTCCTCCAAAAGCACACTGCAGCTACACTTGGCAGATCAATTATAGTTTGCTGTAAGAGCATCAGCAGTTAAAAATAGTCTAGTCTTAATGGTATGAAGCCAGCTACGTGAAAGGCTGAGGCAGGAAAATCACAAGTTCAAGGCCATCCTAGGCAGTTTAGCTCTTGGACCCTGTATAAAAAAAATAGCTCCTCCTGCTCCCCTTCCTCTTCCTCTTCCTCCTGCTCCCCTTCCTCCTCCTCCTGATCCCCTTCCTCTTCCTCCTGCTCCCCTTCCTCCTCCTCCTGCTCCCCTTCCTCCTCCTCCTGTTCCCCTTCCTCTTCCTCTTCCTCCTGCTCCCCTTCCTCTTCATAGATAGATAGATAGATAGATAGATAGATAGATAGATAGATAAAAATAGAGCTGAGCATGGTGGCACACAAGTTTAATCCCAGCATTTAGGAGGCAGAAGCAGGTGAATATCTGAGGCCAGCTGGTGAGGACTACCCTGTCTCAGAAAAGTGAACAAAACAATAAAATTAAATTGGAGCTGAGGGTGTGACTCAGTTTGGTGGAATGCTTGCCTAGCTTGCAGAAAGCCCTGGATTTGATTCCAGCACTGAAAAAAATAGGATGTTGTCACAGGCCTTTAATTCTCAGCAATCGGGAGGCAGAGGCAGTCAGAGGGAGTTCCAGAACAGCCAGGGCTACACAGAGAAACCCTGTCTTCACAAACAAAAAAATCAGCTACAACAAACAACTGCTTGACTTCACTCCTTGAAAGAGCAGAGCACTCACCCTCACTAGTTCTGAATTTGTCTGATGAAAGGACAAAGAAGACGGGGACACCCTCCTTTCCCTGGCTCTGACTCTGTAGGCAGGGCCGTCCCTGGCATGCTCGGGAAGTACTCAACCACACAGCTGTACCTCCAGCCCTGGCCTTTGTCATCCTGATGACTGGGCGACACATCTGTGTGCTGTGATCATCCCAACGCGCACACTCAGTTGTGTCCTCGTCCCGGCTTCTGAGAACACAGTAAGAGGAAATACACTTGGAGAGTCCCGTAGATGGCAGGGGGGCTCAGTGATAACGAGGGAAGAATTGCCTAGCACGGGGCTGCCACCTGCAGTCCCAGTGCCTGACGAGCTGGGGCTGGAGAACTTGCTAGTTCCAAACCCAAACAAACCCAGGACATCTTAGCTTCGAGTGGGGCTGTGGCTGCTGGAGGAAATGCTTGAGTTAGGTGGATGTCCTCTTGGACATTTCTAGATTGTGTGTGCCATGGTGTCCCTTGCTTTGAGTCCTCAGCTGCTTAGGAACTCTGCTTGTAAATTTGGTTTTGCTCCTGACCCATCTTTTCCCAGAAATGGTGGTTTTTGGAATTTTTTTTCTTCCTTGACCCCAAGCTCCCTTTCCTAGCTCAGCATCAGGGATGTAGTAGTGGCTCATCAAAATAGTCACTGTGCAGTGGCTGGAGTGGTAAGAGGTCTTCCCGTTGTTTTTGTTGGTGTGGATTGTTTTTCTGGGTTTTATGGAGGTTTTTGGTCGTTTGAGACAGGTGTTTTGTTGGCTTGTTTTGTCTTTCGAGAGAGGGTTTTTCTTTGTAGCCATGGCTGTCCTGGATCTTGCTTTGTAGACCAGGTTGGCCTCGAACTTAAAAGATCCACCTGCCTCTGCCTCCTAAGTGCTGGGATTAAAGGCGTGCGCCACCATGCCCAGCTTTGAGTCAGTCTTTCTTAAGTATCCCAAGCTATCCTTGAACTTTGTAGCCAAAGATGACCTTGAGCTCCTGATTCTCTTCTACCTCCCTAAGTGTTGGGATTACAGATGTATATTACCATACCTGGCTAGCATACTAGCTTTTTAAAAATTTGATGTGTATGGGTGTTTTGTCCCGTATATCTATGTACCACTTGCATTCCTGATGCCCACAGGCCAGAAGGTGGCATCGGATCTCCTGGAACTAGAGTAACAATGGTTGTAAGGTGCCATGTAGGTGCTGGGAATCCAACCTGGATCCTCTGGAAGAGCAGCTGGTGCCCTTAAGTACTGAGACATCTTTCCAGCCCCTAACATACCATTTTTTAGTTGGCAAGTTTTTACCTCCTGCATGCAGAGCCTTGGGAGAGCCTGGAATAAATACTGAAATTACTTTATTTCCACTGCATGCCCCCTAGTGGAAAAGTATGGCAATTGTGAATTGACTCAAAGACTGGATAAACTCAGTAATTGCCTCCTGTGTATTAGGTACTATTTTACATTTTTTATATATATGTATGTATGTATGTAAGATTTTTCTCTTTAGACAAATATATATATATATATGTTTTGTTGAGTTTGGCCTTCACTATGTTGCCCAGGATGGTCTCAAACTCCTGGCCAGTGATCCTTTTTCCCTAACCTCCCAGTGAAGAGATTGTGTGCGTAATGTGCATGCATGTTGTGAGCAGCTATATGGGTGCTAAGAATCAGACCCAGTCCTGTGGAAGAGCAGCCAGTGCTTTTAACCACTAAGCCATTTATCCAGCCCCTACATACATATTTTTAAATTTTTATTTTACTACTTGTGTTTTTTATGAAGCAGGTATGTGCACAGGTACATGCATGTTTCTGTGATACACTTGTGAAGTTCAAGGATAACTTTTGGGAGTTAATACTTTCCTTCCACACTGAGTTCCTGGAATCTAAATTATGTTGTCAGGCTTGCACACACAGTAAGAGCTTTGCCTTCTGGGCCTCACTGTCCCTATTCACTAATTCTTCAGGGGAGACTTTTCCTGCTCTTTTTCTTTTTCTTTAGTTTTTCAGAGACAGGGCATTCCTCTAACCCAGGCTGACCTGGAACTCACTATAACCATCCTACCTCAGCTGCTAGAGGGCAGAGTACAGTGTGAATCATCGAATCCTGCTCCTTGCTTTCTTTTATACGTGGAACTTGCGTATGTCACATGACTATCCAATTGCTGGGTCAGAACTCGCTCCCATCACACTCCCAAGCCTTCTACCTGTGGATTCCAAGTTTCTGCCACACCTCAAAAGAAAAGGATAACCAAGGAGATCTCCGGAGGAAACTGGATTTACGAACGCCACACCCCAACACACACACACACACACACACACACACACACACACACACACACACACAGTCCCTTAGACTAGACAACCGTGCTTTCTGTCACATTCAGCTCAGCTTGAAGTCAGGGGTCCTGCCTTGCTGCTTCCTAGATCGGGTTCTTTGTTCTGACTGGGCAGGCTCTGCCAGACCTGCTTTTCTTGAATAACTGTAAACAGCTGTGACTCATGTTCACACCACATTTTTCCTGTTTGAGTCACTTAATACTAGTAATTTTATAACATTAAAGCAAGTTTCATTTCTATTGACAAATGAGGAATCACACTGAGTCTTCCGTTGTTAAATGGTGGAGCCATAGTTGGACTTTAGATTAAACTGTTCTTGTAGCCACAGACTCAGTTCTCCAACTGCCCTGTATCCATATTATAACCATACCAGCTGTTTAAGTAAGATTTCTCTTTTTAGACAAAACTGAAGATTATTGTCTGTGGTTAGAGGAGTTTGTTATGGAAGTAAGGTGCCAGTGAGCCTGTATATATGGGAGGGGCTCCATAAAAATACATTCATGGGGCTGGAGAGAAGGCTTAGCGGTTAAGAGCACTGACTGTTCTTCCAGAGGACCCAGGTTCAACTCCCTGCACCCACATGGCAGCTCATAACTGTCTGTAATCTACTTCCAGGGGATCTGGCACCTTATACAAACATGCAGGAGAAACACCAGTGCACATAAAATAAAAATAAAGTGTTAAAAAAATAAATTCATTGGGCTGGAGAGATGGCTCAGGTTAAGAGCACCAACTACTCCTCCAGAGGTCCTGAATTCAATTCCCAGCAACCACATGGTGGCTCACAACCACTTGTAATGAGATCTGGTGCCCTCTTCTGGCCTCCAAGGACACATGCAGGCAGAATAAATCTTTAAAAATAAATAAATTAATTAATTAATTCACAAAAAGACAAGCATGATGGCACTGAAATTCCAATCCTTAGGGTGCTGAACAGGAAGGTTATGAATTCAAGTCCATGCAGAACTACATAGTGAGATCCTGTCTCTGAAGACCAAATAAGAAGCTGGACGTGGTGGCATGCCTCTGAAATCTAAGTACTTGGGAGGCCATGGCAAGAGAATCAGAAGTTTCAGGAACAACCTGGTTGACCTTGTGGAACCTTGGTTCAAAACTTCAAAAATAAGTCTGGTCATAGTGGTATAGGAAGTAGAGGCAGAAGGGTCAGGATCAGCATGAGACCAGAAAAAGAGGGAAAGAGGAAAGGGAAAAGAAGAAGAAAAGGTGTTAGTTGAGCTGGTTTTTTTGTAAGGGCCAAGCTTAATGCTTCATTCTAGTATGGGGGGGGGTGGGGTGGGGTGAGTGGTGGTTTATTCCGGAGTAAGAGGACACTCTGCTCAGTGTGCTCATCCCTCAGATCTTCCTCAGCAGAAGCTCTCAGGCTGCAGCCTCCCTCTCTATGTTCATTTTTCTTCCTAATTCAACTGTCTTTCCACTGTCAGCAGCAATAGTAACATACTTCAGCCTGTCTTCTTGCCGGGCTAGGAAAAACCCTGAGAACTGATGCTCACTTTGAACAGAGAACTTCCTCAACAAGCCACTTCCCACACCAGGTCTTTACTTGGATTTCAAGTAGAGATGAGGTTAGAGAGAGAAGAACTAAGAAGTAGATCTACATTTTCCATCTGAACCAAATAAAACCCAGCACTTTGGACTCCCATTGCTCCACGGAGTCCTAGTTGTTTGTTTGGGTGATACTGCCGTAAGCACTCACCAGACGTGCTGTGTCTTCTAGGTAAGGCGCTGTGCTAGGAGTTGGCAGCAAAGCCCTTCTATCTGTAGCAGCCTGATGAGTACTCAGGCCGGCCAGGATTGGTTGGTTGGTTGGTTGGTTGGTTTTTAACTTGAGATCTCAGCCTGCAGTCCAGGCTAGCCTGGAACTCAAGGTCATACTTCTGCCTCCCAACTGGTAATTACAGGTATGAACCACCACAACCCAGCCAGCCTAAACCTGAGATTCTTTCTTCTTTTTCTTTTCTTTTTTTTTTTTTTTTGGGTGGGGGGGGTGGGGGGTGGGGTGGGGTGGGATTGGAGTGGGTTTCAAGAAAGGGTTTCTCTGTATCCTTGGCTGTCCTGGAACTCATTCACTCTGGACCAGGCTGGATCGGACTCAGAGATCCATCTGCCTCTGCCTCCTGAGTGCTGGGATTAAAGGCGTGCGCCACCACACCTGGCAGAGTTCTTCAACCTTTAAATCTTGTAGTAAATTACACTCTCTAAATGATGTGATTTACCATCATAAATATACATTTGGGTGACTTGCCTTTGAAAAGCCCATTCTTACGCTCAGCTACTTCTTATCTTTCCTGAATGCCTTCCCCTCCCCAACCCTTACGCTTAAAATCTATATTGTAACCTTTTAATAAACCTGCTAACTCTGTTTCATATTCGCTTGTCCTGAAATTCTCTCTGGTGAAGCCCAGGAATCCTGAGTTTGCCTGAGTAAAGATCCTTAAGGAGAAAGGGAATTCTTGAGGCCACTGCCAGGGATGATGTAGAGCTGTCCCTGTGTCCCTTGCTGCTGCTAACATCAACAGTAGCCAAATGTATGGTTCGGGTGGCTTTTGAAGTGGTGTTTGTTCAAGGGGTTTCTGGGAGCTTTTTTTTCTAAATGAGTTCATAGGGCTGTTGGTATTGAGGTGCGTTGGGCAGTATTAGAGGCTGATAAAATGGCGTAGTTGAGACTAGCTACATCTCAAGCTCTGGGCTGCTGTTAGGAACACGGAACCGCGTGCTCATTTCTCCTAGCCTTGAACTTTTTCCTTCCCTGCTTCAGAAAACAGCGGTTTCTACCCAGTTCTTCTAACATGCTCCCCGAAATCTGCTTTTGCTCCAGTTGATGCCCAGTGACATGACTTTGAATGGAGTCTCCTTTGGGCCAAGGCCAACCAAAGCTACCAGCTGGGCACTCAATAGATTAGCCCTTGGTCTTTCCTGGCTACTTTCTGCCAAGGGAGGAAGCGGGGAGGGAGTCGGCCAGCTGAGCCCAGGCTCTGTGCCAAGCCATTTCCCTCCTGCTTTGGGCAGTGTGTACAGTTACTCATTCAGCAAGTATTAATTATGTACTTTCTGTGTATGCTCAGAGTAGACCCCTTTTCTGAGAGAGGAAAACAGCAGAGATCCTTGCAGGAGGGAGCCTGGCATACTTTTAAGAGCTCTTGTGGGAAATTTTTCTTTTTGGATTGGAAACCCAGCATCTGCTGGAGTCCCTCGATGGGAGGCCCCCGGAGATGAGAACAAGGAGACTGTTAAACATTGATGAGGCACACTGTGTGGGTATTCCTGCAGTCTCCAGAGGAAGGCAAGTTTCACCTCTTTCTTGTCGGAGAGTGACAGACCGGATCCCATACAGACTGTTTTTGGCACCGAGGACGTGGAGATGGTCTGAATCTTTTCTCCTCAGCCCTCCCTGCTGCTCTGTCGTTTATAAGCCTCCTCCTGCCACACAGCAATAAATAAAACCTTTGGATCTTCAACCAGTCAGACACCAAGTAAACTGTAAACAACAGTGAACTTGTGAGTGGGAGACCTTGGCAACTTCCTCCTCTTCTCCTGAAAAAGTGTCTTGTTCTCTGTGCCAGACAGGCCTGTCCACCCCTGGGCATGGCGCCCCAGCTGCTTCGATGGCCACAAGACCGAGGTGGAGGGACTAAGTATGTCCCGCTTTACCAGTGTCACTACTGCCTGAGGAGGGCGCTGACAGGCAGTTCTGTTTAAAGCTTCTAACCCTCTGTGTGTGTCATCGTAGCGGGTAGGAACCTCGTACTGAAGAATTCTTGGTGATGGCTGTGAGAACCGGCTGGGCTCTGAATTGCCAAGCTGGAGTCTTAGAAAGTTGCTTTTTCCTTTAAAGACCTATAAAACAGGCTCACAGCACACCTGCCCCCTGTGGTCGTAGTGAGGATCACTGAAATAGCCTGTCCCTTAGTGCCTGGCCTGGCCTACTGTATATACCTAGTGAGTTTCAGTTGTGCTTGTGATTGTGGGAACTGTGGCTGGATCTAGAGTGAAGGCTACAGATGACAGCCTCCTCCTCCCACTGCTTCAACAGGGCATTCTAGAAAGGCTGGTTGGCTTGGCACTGATGAGCTCCCCTCCTCTCTGCTCTCCTTCCCCTCTCTCTCTCTCTCTCTCTCTTTCTCTCTCTAGGGGACACTACACAGAAAATGAGAACTGCTCACTATCCTACCCCAGCCGAATTGGACGCGTATGCTAAGAAGGTCGCAAACAACCCACTGACTATAAAAATCTTCCCCAACAGTGTGAAGGTTCCCCAGCGGAAACACGTTCGTCGTACTGTGAACGGCCTCGACACATCAGCCCAGCGCTACAGTCCCTACCCGACTCAGGCTGCCACCAAGGCAGGCCTGCTTGCCATTGTCAAAGTGCCAGCCAAAAGCATACTCAAGGACTTTGACGGCACCCGAGCCCGGTTACTCCCTGAGGCCATCATGAACCCCCCGGTGGCACCCTATGCTACTGTGGCACCGAGCACTTTAGCCCACCCCCAGGCCCAGGCTCTGGCCCGCCAGCAGGCCCTGCAGCATGCACAGACCCTGGCCCACGCCCCTCCCCAGACACTGCAACACCCTCAGGGTATACCACCACCACCACAGGCACTGTCTCACCCTCAGAGCCTCCAGCAGCCTCAGGGCCTGGGCCACCCACAGCCGATGGCCCAAACCCAGGGCTTGGTCCACCCACAGGCCCTGACTCACCAGGGTCTCCAGCACCCCCCTAATCCATTGCTGCATGGAGGCCGGAAGATGCCAGACTCAGATGCGCCCCCGAATGTGACCGTGTCTACCTCAACTATCCCCCCTTTCGATGGCGGCCACCCTGCAACACAGCCAGCCCCCGGACCTGAGCAGCATCGTGCATCAGATCAACCAGTTTTGCCAGACGAGGGCAGGCATCAGCACTACCTCAGTGTGTGAGGGCCAGATCGCCAATCCCAGCCCTATTAGTCGCAGTCTGCTCATCAATGCAAGCACCCGGGTGTCGACCCACAGCGTCCCCACACCAATGCCTTCATGTGTGGTCAATCCCATGGAGCACACCCATGCGGCTACAGCCGCACTGCCTGCCGCAGGTCCTGTCAACCTGCCCACAGGCATCTCTCGAGCCCCCACTGGCTACCCTAGCGACCTCAAGCCAGTTACCTGGAACCAGCACCAGCTGGCCCACCTACAACAGATGTGCAGTGAAGCTGGTGGCACACCAGCCCCTGGCCTGACAGGCAAACATACAGCAGGACGTGAGTTGGCGGGGCCTGGTTTTGTGGGCAAGGCCCCTGCCTACCCACAGGAACTCTGCCTGGCACAGTCCTTCCATCTGAAGCCTTCCCTGGAGAAGCCGACCCCATCCCCACCTGTGAACGGCCTACCAGCCCCACTGGCCTATCCCAATGGTCACTACTTCCAACCCCTGTGGAACAACATCCTACCAACTCCCAATAGCGACAGCTCGGGGGTCTCAGGACCTCGCCATGCCCTTCCATGGTGGGCAGCCCACAGGTGCACCCCCTCGACTGTGCGGCAGCTCCTGGGGCCCACTACCGAGCGGGAACTGGGGGTGGGCCAGTGGCAAGCCAGAACAGTCTGATGCAAACGGTGGATTACCTGAGTGGGGATTTCCAGCAGGCCTGCTTCCGAGAACAGAGCCTGGCCATGTTGAGCAAGGCCCACCGAGCCCCTGGCACCCGAGCCCCTGATCCCACAGATAGTCGAAGTCTTCATATTCAGCACCCAGGGTATAGATAGGGAGCTGTGATGTCCTCAGGCAACACGTCATACATTGCCCTTCTAGGTTTAGTCTTACTTTTAAGTAACTGGGTAGTTTCAAAGTCTCACTGCTCCAGTGTGATCATCCTTAGATACCTAAGGAAGGGAACTTGGCGGGGTCTCTTTAGGGGCAGAAGAAGGTCCTTTACCCTCCTCTCAAACAACTCGTGGCTTTCTGTTAGACCCAAACCTGGGGTCTCAGCCACCTGCCTATCAGTCAGTCTCCACCTTGACCACTTGTTACTCTGGCCGTCTTGCTAAGACTGAGTATGGCTGAGGGAAGGGGCCTAGAGCCTTAAGTTCGACTTCTCTGGGACTAAGAAGCCAGACTTTCTAAGTGCTCTGGAAGCTAATTCTTTATTCCCCCAAAGATGTCAAATCAGAATAAACAGTTTCCATCTTTCTCAGCTGCATTGACGTTGCTCCCAAGCCGCTGCACTTCTCCTTGACAAAGTCCTGAGACTCCGAGAGGAAACCTTTGTGTTGCATCTTGGTTCTTGACCCCCCCCCCCCCCCCCCCCAGAGAAATGCAGTGGCCATCTGGCATTCCCAAGACCTCCTGTCACTGTTGCCTCTCTCCAAACAACAACTGTCCTCATCCCTGCCTCCCCTCCCCCTTAAGAAAAAAAGAAAGAAAAAAAAAAAAAAGCAAAAAAAACTACCTTACTTGAAGAATTAGTTATAGGTAAAGGATGATCACATTAGAGTTTGGAATTAAAAACACCAAAAAAGTTTAAAAAAAAGTTAAAACTGCATTTGGTTCTCTACACTGGCTAGGAATTATTGGTCCACACTGTAAGTTTTAAGTGTCATGTTTCTGTATGAATGTGTGGGTTTGAGAGAGCGTTTTGGTATGAGTGGCCCCCACAGGTACATTCACCCTCACATTTTGCAGCCCTTCAGTTTAATGAAGAACAAAAGGAAAAACACAAAGCCTTAAGCTCTTTGAATTCTTCCTCTACCAAATGAGCATGGTTCTGACTGCTGCGGAGGGGCGTACATTGGAAACAGCCCCTCTTGCCCCTTGCCCGTTCTTAGAGCATCTCCCACCTTCCAGGACCAGTGTGTCTCATTATTCCCAAGTGACAATTAGTTGTCTAGAAACTCAACACATCTCTGTAACTTTAGATTGTTTTGTTGTAAACTTTTGCACCTGTCTTCTGTTGCACAGCTGGGCTTTAAGAAGAAGAATAATAAGCCCCTGCCTTTCCTCTTGTCTTTGGGGAATGTGAGCTGATAACTGAAGGTTTTGGGTTTGTTCTCACTGTTTCTTAGCCAGACATTCTGTAGTGAACTGAAGCGATGTGACTGAAGACCAGTTTTTAAATTATGTGTTGGCAAGTTGCCTTATATTTAAAAGGAAGAAAAAAAAAAAGGAAAAAAAAAATGCCTGAGTGTGTTATGCCAAATGATAGCAACATGAAGTCCTAATTTATTGTTTCCCTGCCGTCTGTGAACACTGGGATTATTGCCCTGTCTCCAAGCCCCTCAGCCTCTGGTGCAGCCTCCTTCAAGGTGTTGGCCATCTCCTCACCCAAAGCCCCCTCCATTAGCCGATTCTCTGAGTCGTATTTAATGAGCTCCACTATCTCCTGTGACCTCTTGCCTGACCTCCGATCTGATATTCTTGTTGTAACGCCCTTCCCAAATCCTCCCGAGAGTGGGCTGCCACTGTGGGAAACTGGACCAGACACTAACTTGGGGGCTTTCACACCTCACTCCCACCTCTAGTCTGCATGGAAGACGTACTGTGATCCCCTTACCCTACAAGTGACTGCCTTCAACTTTGGTGTAAGGTGTTTCCTAGTTCAACCCCATTGTCCCCTGCCCCACCCAACCAGCAATAAGGGTCCAAACCAGGGCCTCATCTTCACACTCCCTGCCACCCCAAGGGAATACCTGGAGCCCCATTCCACTTACTCACCCTTGTTCTCCACCTCACCTCACCTGTGGGCATGGTGGGTTTTTTTTTTTTTTTTAATTATAAACCAGTAAAAAACCCTCCTCTTGACCTTGTCCTGTTCGTTTAATGTGGTGAATGCCTGAGGTGGTTTGTCTTGAGGACAGTCTGTATTGTTTCCCTGAGTAAAAGAGTTTCTCTTATTCATCCCTCAGAAACCCTCCCCTGCTTACCCCAGACTGAATCCCAGGCTACAGGCTATAGGGTGTGCACACAGGCAGCTCGGTCAGGCCCCAGGTAGGGTCCAGCCGGAGAGCGCTGCCATCCTTTCAGTCCAAGAGCCATCAGTCCTAAGAAGTTTTCGGGCATCTGTTCACCATAAAGTCTCCAGCAAACTATAAACCTTCCTCCACTTTATTTCTTGTGACAGAGGTGAGAGTTCTGGAATCCAAAACAAGGAAGCTGCCTCACCCTCCTGATTTACACTGCTCCCAAGCGGAATGCTAGAGTCCTCTGATGGGAATGGGGGTGGGGAGGTTTCAGTTACCTGCTTGGTTTTTACTGTTGGGGCTCTGCCCAGTTTGATTGTAGGGGGAGGAAGATAGGAAAGCTAGTCAGCAGGTGGGGAAACACGTGGAATCCAGAGTGCCCTTCAGGTGGCATGCCCTTCTTGTTAACGCGCTTTGCCTCCCTCCTCCTTTGTGTCCAGGCAAGTACTCTGCAAACCAAGCCAGTCTGCCCAAAGAGCTAACACGGGGCGGGCGGTGGTGGCGCACACCTTTAATCCCAGCACTCAGGAGGCAGAGGCAGGCGGATCTCTGTGAGTTCAAGGCCAGCCTGGTCTGCATAGCGAGTTCCAGGAAAGGCTCCAAAGCTACACAGAGAAACCCTGTCTCGAAAAACCAAAAAAAAAAAAAAAAAAAAAAAAAAAAAAGCTAACACGGTAGGTAGGTAGGCTGGTGCTTAGGGAGTCCACCACTTCATGCTCTGCGGTCGACCCTAGTCTGCATTCCACAAGGCTAGGACCACAGTTGGGATGAAGGACAGGCCCGCCAGGCCGTGTGTCAATTGCAGTGTTCCAGCTTTCAGTCACACAGTTGTCTGTCAGCAGAGGAAGGCCAGCTTTAATCCAAGCGGTTCCAGCTTCTGAAATGCTAAACAGTAGTTTGACCCATGTCTCTGGTTTTCTCTAGTCTCCAGGTGACTGTCTAGCAAGCTGGTTGTATGATAAGGGACCATTTTGGCTTTCTCAGCTAAGGTCCCACGGCCCCCTAGATGAGTAAATAGAGTGAAAATACAAGACTAGTGGAGCAACCAGCTCTCTGCCTTCTCTCTTCACTTCCCTCTGTAGAACAGCCCCTTACATCCTCCTTACCAGTCTCAGTGCTAGGCCCTAAGTAAGGCACTTCATGCGAATTGGCTCCTGTCATGATCACATTCCAAGACCAGCAGTTGAGCAAAAGTCATCTTACCATTAAGGGTATTAACCCCACAGAGCTAAGTAACTTGCCAAAAGCAAGCCCAAATTTATTGCCCAAATTGAGCTATATGTCTACAGAATCCTAGTCATGAATTCAAGGGTGGACATGTAGTTGAGTAGTTCGTGGCATGCACCAGGGGGCAAAAAACAAAACAAAACAATTCCAGGCCCTGCCCCAAACTAGCTGAAGGAGTCAGTTTGCTTCCGTTTAGTTGACTGGCGAAATGTATGTAGTCGGAGACAACCATTCAGAACTGTGCAGAAAGCACACGAGACTACAGGTGAGAAAACCCAAGTGCTTTGTGCCCCTGAGTACAGACAGACATTAAGTCCTTGCTGTGTCAGGCACACGCAGCCTCATTAACTCTTCATGAAGGCCATTTATTCTAATGGTAAAAGCTTTACAAAGGCCTCAGGAAGCCGGGCAGGGTGATACGTGCTCTTAATCCCAGCATTCAGAAGGCAGAGGGTCTCCTGAGTTCCAGGCCAGCCTGATCTACAGTGACTTCCAGACACCTGGGACCACACAGGAGAAAGGCGGGCAGTGGTGGTGCATGCCTTTAATACCAGCGCTTGGGAGGCAGAGCCAAGGCTGATCTTTGTGAGTTCGAGGCCAGCCTGGACTACAGAGCGAGATCTAGGATAGGCACCAAACTACACAGAGAAACTCTGTCTCGAAACCCCACCCCCCAAAAAAATGGCCGTCTTGGTGGAAGTACTTATACAAACACAAGGACTTGAGTTTGGATTCCCTCACCTGTGTAAAACAAAAAACAAAAACTACACAACAACGCACACCTATAACACCCTAGTGCAGGGTCAGTCAAGGCAAGATTTTCGGAGCGCGTTGGCCGACTAGACTGACTAGTCTTGTGGAATCAGTGAGCTCCAGGAGTTTTGATCCTGGCTCAAAGTGGTCGAGAGTAACTGAGGACGACACTGGACATGGACCTTTGTCTCGCACATGTATACACACATGGTAATTATTGATAAACACCTGCCTAAGCAGAGAACTTGTCTTTGGTGAGGTAGGAACTAGAAACGCCAGCCTGATGAAAAGCGGTCCCTGCACTTATCCATCGAACCACCAGAGGGCAGCTGCAGGCGCCCACACAAGGCTTGCTGCAGTTCCCATATTGTCCACCAGAGCGGTCCACTGCGAGCAGCAGCAGCTCAACCCCTTTCCTTCTGTTGGGCCCAGCCTCCCAGAACCCTAACCAACTGGGAGGAGACAGGCTGGAATCAAGTTAATAAATACAATTCAGGATTTATTAAAAATCAGAGTTCCCCTGCTGTGCCCTCCTGGCACTAAAGAAATAAATAACCGGAGAGGGCAACACTGGGTAAATGGAGAGAGATTAATCTCAAGGCAGATTCTTAGAACTACCCCCTCCCTTTTCCCATACCCCCACCCCCACTATGGCTCTTGGGACATAGCACCTGAGCAGGCACCTCAGTCCAGGTAGAATGTGGCTGGCACCAAGGCATGTCTGCCCTGCCCAGGAGGGGAGACAGGCCCTGGGATCACTTGTTTCCAGCCCTTGATAACCCCGAGACCTGCTCCCCCCCAGGGGCCAGGGCTGAAGCACCAATTGGAGGCACCTGAGGGGTGGGGCGGTGGTGGTGGTGTGGGGAGAGGGTGGTGGGCTAACAACCTAGGCAAAAGAAGCTGCAGGGGGGTCCGGCCCCCTCTCCAGTCCCAGCCAGCGGCTGAGGTACTGTCCCACCTCCCTTCCGGCTTCAGCGCAGAAGGCTCTACCATCAGCTGAGGATCTTCCGAGGCAGTTCGACGGAGGCACGGATGAAGACTGCGTCATCCCGCACGTAATTTCGCTTTCGAATGTCCTGGTGGGAGATGAATTTGGGGTAGCCAAAGCCCAGAGAGCTCTCATCCAGGGAGCCTCGCCAAGTGCCGGGCTTTTGGAAGTTCTTCCAGTTTGGATCAGGGTGGAAGGTCTCTGTGACATGCTGTGGCTTGGCCAGACCCGGGTCGCTCTGATCCAACAGGGAGAAGGTGACCCGCCGGGCAAAGGGCCACTCAAGGAGATTGTCAAAGGCGCCTGGCAACACACGGATGTAGATGGAGAGGTGTGTGCCCTCGCCACTGCCGTTGCCGTTGAGGAACGCGGACACCTGCAGCTTGTAGCCGTACTTGTGTGTGTAGAAGGCCGGGCTGAAGCACTCCAGGTTAGGCTTGGCCTTGGCCTCTTGGAGACGCCGCCCATAGCTGCCGATCTTCCAGATGAGCACTCCATCGCTGCCTATGGATAGCTCCTCCAGCTCCCTCCGCAGCTCCTGCAGCTCTTGCCGCTGCCGGCTCACCAGGGCACACATCATAGCCAGATGTGGCTTTACACTCTCCTCCACGTGACGTGCCATTGCCAGCTTAGGGCACTGTTGGCAAAACCCAAGGCCATGGGGGGAAGGAAAAAGTTACCAAAAGAGGAAGGTCCAGGGGGAGAGAAGAAGCAGATAGGGTAGCAGGCACCCAATTCCACAGGACGGTGGCAGAGGGTGTTGGGAAGAGGCAGTTGGTCAGGGGGACCCCTAAGGGCTAAAGGGGGCCGAGAAAGGGGCATCTCACCCTGTGCTTGCAGCCAGACTCTTTGAAAGGGCAGAGCACCAAGGCAGTGCTGCAACTGTCCTTCAGGTGGCTGGGCAGGTCCTCCCGAGCCACGGTGCCCACACCACACTGGTTGGGGGCAGGCAACAGGCAGCCGTGGGCACTGGTACTGATGGCTCTAGGACCAGAGAGAGACGTAGTGGTCAATACCCCGAGTCCTTGTTACCCAGTCCCATAGCATACAGGTCAGTAAAGGCCTCACCTGGATGGTGTCAAAAACAAACTCCTTGGTACAGTAGGCACAAGGCTGGGTGCGCTTGGGGCACTCAGAAGTGGCATGCTGGGCCAACAGTCGCCTCATCATGCGGGCACCACACTTGTTCTCACAGTACACGCTCTCTTGGGGGCACATGCCCTCGTGACTCTAAAAATAGCACAGGGGCTGAATTAAGGGATGCCTGAGCTTCCAGGTACCCCACCCTCCCTTCACCTTCAGCCTAGACCCACCTACCTCGTAGGCCTCCCCGCTGAAGTCACAGCCACAGAATTCACACTTGAGGCGGCGCTTAGGGCAGTCGTGCTGCAGGTGGGCAGGCAGATCCCCGCCGGCTCAGCTTGGCCGGGCAGCGATTGGGGCAGGGGACCACATTGAAGCTGCAGGTGTTCAAGTGGCCCTGGTGGGAGAGACTCGGTCGGCATCTGCGAGTGATGAGTGAGGGCTAGTCCAGCTCCCCACCCCAGAGCCTCACCTGGAGATGGCGGAGTGGCCCACTCCAGCGGCAACCCTCCTCACTGTGGATGCAGCGGATAGGCAGGCCTAACACCTGGACCTCCAGCTCTGGGTCTGGGTAGATCTGTGGGCAGAGAATGGGGGGCTCAGCAAGGATCAGAGCCTGTGGTAGTCACATTCACCCCGACTCTCAACGGAGCTGGCTGTGTCTATAAGCCAGTAATAACCTCTTGGGCTCTTGGGCTCTCAGATTAGGTGTCTCTGTGCCCTCGGAGGAAGGAAGGGTACAGTAGGTGGTATCTACTCTGACTTGGAACCCAGGGTCCCCAAAATGCCTGCACAGGAACATGCTCCCTTCAAGGGGACACCCCATCACATCAGCCTGCTCAGTCACAGGCTACCATCCCCCTCCCCCGCTTCCTTCCTCTTAGTGGAGGGGTCCTGGCCCCTGGCCACAGGTCTAACTTGCCACAGGAAGAGGAGGGAGCGTTTTTTTACGGGCACAGAGCGGCTCTGTGCACCCCTACAGGCTGGGCATTGTGCCTGCCCCCCAGGGCAAACACAGCCTTCGTTTGCAAACTGGCCTGGTGGGAGAGAACAGGCTACCTTTGTGGGGGCTCAAGATCCTGAGGCTTGGGGTTGACACTGGCCCTGTGCCTGCGGGCTGCCAACAGCTCCGGCCTCCACCAAGGGCAACAGTCTATCTAACTATGTACCCAGGCTTCCAGCCTAGCAGTGTGTACTCACCTTGGCATAGTCCAGAGGAAGCTGGTCCTCAGGGCATTTGAAAACTCCTTCACTGAAAGGGGAGAAGGCAGGGTCAAGGTTCAAACCCTGGGCCTCACTCCCTCAACCAGGGTAGCCACCCTCCCTTGCCAGGCCCCTTCCAGGCCAGCCATAGCTGAGAAAAAGGGAAAGCAGAGGTCATTAGGAACCCACTTTCCAAGGGTGCTAGACAGCCTGCAAAGGGTATTCCAGGTCCAGTGCAGACAGACACAGCTGTCTTGGGCAGCACTTACCCAACAGGTGGCAGCTGGCATCCCCTCCCCCCAGGACAGCAGCTGGACTTGAAAGAAACAGGCAGCCTGCCACCCCCTTCTCCCAAAATGGTTTTCATTGGCTATTCTGAAAGCTGATGGGAGAGTATACAAGATGGGCTTGGATGAGGTGCCAGGACTACCCAGCCTCCATGACTGCCAGGCCAAGAACCAGGGCAAAGGTCATCTTGAGGCTACTTTATGCTATCCCACCCCTCTCTGAGGGTGTGTCTCCTAAAGAGGTGGGAAGGAAAAGTAAAGCCTTTGGCGCTCCCGTGTTCACTCCCACCCGGCCTTCATCACCCGCCTCTGAGAAGGGTTAGAAGGGGTTCACTCAGATGACAAAACCACCACCACCCAGGCTCCTCTTGAGGCAGCACCCGGGGGCGTCTGTGGCAAGTCCACAGCTCAGATAGGCTCTACCACGGGCAAGGCTTCTGAGACTTGGGGACCCCAGTCCCTGCCAGCTCTCCTGTCCCCCTTCTTCCCAGTCTCCACCCTGATACTCACATCCATAGAGCCTGGTAGCATGCTTCTTCCTGCCAGTATGCCCTAGCTGACCCCAACAAGACCCGTCACACATGACTGTCGTGGCCCAGGCAAGACAAGGGCTCACCCAGCAGGACAGAGGCCCCTAGGCATGGCATTCCTGGCAGATCTGAGTCAGGTAGGCGGGAGGCAGGCAGCCCTCAAGGCGGAAGCAGAGGCTACATGGCAGCCCTGTGTGAAAGCACTTCCCAGAGCCTGGGCAGGCCATACCCCAGGTGCCCAGTCCACTTCCTAAGACCTCCTCTTGGCCCCGCTACTAGTGGCCATGTCCTGGATGCAGAGAACAGTACATGCTCAGGCATCAAACAGGTATGCCTGCACCCACAGGGCAAGGAGCCTTTCTGGCTCAACCTGAGTAATAGCCTCGGCAGGAGTGGGGAAAGAGGACTGGACCACGGGGGAGGGGGTCCACTTGGCGGCTTCAGGAATGTGCTGACCCAGTGGTTTTGGAGACGAGGGGACTAAGGCAAGTCCCTAGGCTTCAGGCAGAGGCTTACCCTGCAGCTTGGGGCCCAGCCAGGACAAAGGTTTGGCCAAGGCGATGGACAACCTAACTTGTAGGGTAGGGGTGATAGTGGAGGGGAGGGTAGAGCCTGCTCAACCACCTCCAGAGGCCACGGAACACTCGATCAGTGGGGGAGGGGAGAAGGCAGAGGCAGCTCCTGGCTGAGCAGTGGAGGCCCAAGCCCAGGGGAGAAGACAGGATGGGGGGAGGGGGGCAGTGGGAGAGGAAGAGGGGATTTCCGGGAGAAGGAGGAGGGGCAGAAGCAGCCTCGAGGGGCCTGAGAAGGAGGTGAAGGAGGAGGGAACTGGGCCTGACGGCCCCCTTCTGGCTCCTTCCCCGAGGCAGTAAGGGTGGGTCAGCCGGAGGAGGGGGCTGGCTCAGCTGGCCTCATCTGGAAACCAGAGGGCCGGGAAGGGAGCTGAGGAGACAATGGGCCCGTGTGTCTGTGGAGGAGTTCAGTGTGTACATTGCAGGGAGGAGGGCCAGAGGGAGGAGGGAGGGAAGAAGGGAGGAGGGGGCCCGCACAGCAGCTTGAGCAGGAGCATATGTGAGAGCCCGAGCCCGCGGCTGCTAGGAACAAAAAAAACAAAGGGCCTGCTGAGATTTCCGCCAGCCAGGCTCTTCGGAGGCAGTGGGATGGGACACTGAGGCACAAGTCTTACACTGATCTCCCTGACAGTGCCCCTCGGACCGCGGCCGACCTGACCTTCCGTGGGTTCTAGGGCACGACCTCCACAGGCGTCGGGGGCTCCCCGATCTCCCCTCCCACACCGCAGCCCTCGGGGTGCCCAGAAGTGTGACGGGGGCCTGAGGCCGCAAGGCACGACCTGGGTCCTGAGAGGGCAGGGGACACTAAGTACCCACCCGGGGACAATTCCCCTTTCGCCTGTGTACCCGACCATCCGTCACACTCCAGACCCCAGGGAGGGTTCCCAGTCCAACCTCTCCTGCGTGACTACACGCAGCCCGGGCTGGATGCCCCGCTAAGATCTGAACCGTGTGACCCTGGGCAAATCGTAGCCTCTCTCTCCATCTCTGTGAAATGGGAGAACAATAGCGGCCGCTTTCTCGGCGTCAGAGAGGACGAGAGGAGGATGGACGGGGGAGAACTCCAGAGGCAGGCTTGCCGTGCCGCGCCGCGCGGGAGAGGCTTTGTCCTTCCTTCCCTTCCCCGAAGGATTCAAAGTTCAAGGCTGCGGCCGCTCGGGCTCAGGTGGGGGGGAAGGGCCGGCCACGGGTCGGGAAGAAGGGCGTCTTTCCCTTCGCCACGGCTCGGGGAGGGACGTCTTCCCCACCTGGAGCTGGGCAGGTAGGACCCGGGCGACCTTACGCCTGGGTACGTGGGGTCCTCCCCGGAGCCCTGACGTCACCGCCGCCCCTTGACATCCTGGTGGGCGCTCCTGAGGTCACCGGGGCGGCCGCGCAGACAAAGACCCGACGTGTCTCCGGCCCGAGCCCTTCCCCGTGCAGTGCCCGTCACCCTCCCCGCCCCGCTGTCCCGCCCCGCCGGCCGAGGCCCACCGCCCCCGGGTCGCACCTGAGGAACTCCTGCAGGCAGGTGTCGCAGAAGCGGTGGCCGCAAGTAGACACCTGCACCGGCTCGCGCATGGGCTTCCCGCACAGTGGGCACAGCAGCCGCCGCTTGGGCTTCTCCAGGAACTTGTAGTCGAAGCCGGGCATGGCGGGCTGGCGGCGGCGGGCACGGGCGAGCGGGGCCGGGCACGCGGCGGCCCCACAGCCCGCGCCTCGCTCCGGCCGCGTTCCCCGGCTGCGGGCGGCGCCGACTGGCGGCCGCGAGCGGCCCGGGTCCGCAACCCCGCCCGCCGGAAGAGGGGGCGGAGCCGCGGCCCCATGGTCCTAGAGCCCGCCCTCGCGCCCCGCCCACTCCGCCAGCCCTCCGCATGCGGTCGCGCTCGGGACTCTGCCCAGGCTTCGAAAGTTAAGTCAGCCTCGCCCACCCCCGGAAGCGGAGGCTTCTCTTTCCCGTTGCAACTGAGAGCGTGGCTGAGATTCTTTCCAGAAGTGGGGGCCCCTTGCGCTGGGACGGTGCCTTGCCGGGTCGCACCCCAAAGACTTGACTCTTTAGAGGCCGCTTTAAGGTCTCCTGCGCCACGCGCCGCCCAGGGACCCGTGGCTCTAGCTTCCAGGTGCTAGGCAGCGAAGCCTGGCAACAGGATCCGAGAAAACCCGGCTGGAGCAAGGAAACTGGGCTGGGCGCTGGGCCAGCGGAACCTTGGCCCCCGCCTCCGGCCTCTGACTGCGCCCACATTCCAACTGGCCGCTGCCCTACACCACAGTCGGGCCCAGCCCAGTCTTGGGGTGTCTAGAGGCCACCTCCACCCCAGAAGAGACCATATGCCAAGCAGGCATTTGATATTTTTATTGGCGCTATTTTCAAACCTTTGAGAAACTGGTCGGGTCTGGCCTGCTACATTTTCCCCTAGTCTTAGGTCTGGGAAATGGCCTGCGGTGACTGGCAACCTTCAGCAGGATTCCCTTGGCAACCACGCAGTAGCTCCAGTACTCCCCGCCCTGGGAGGTGGGGGGGGGCGCCCACTCAGAGGTTCCCTGCCTCAGGAAAGACTGAAAAGGGGACTCCCTCCGACCTATCAGCCTCAAGCTATGCAGTGTAGAGATAGGATTCGTACAACAGTCAGGCCTAATGGCCAGTCCAAACAAGCCCTGGCTTGCCCTACTCCAAAGCACGGCATCGGTCTCTATGAGGACACCTCCAGGGATGTATTTCTACCCGGGCTTGGGGTGGGGGTGTGTGCGTTTTTAGCAGTCTTTGAAAACCAGCCTGCTGTTCATTCCTGCCAGGCTGGAGCCTGGAGACACTAAGTAAGATAAGGAGTTTGGGACGGGGGCTTGGGGGAACAGAGTGGCGGCCAGTGGCCTCTCCACCTCACTGATGACACAATCCAGGAGCTGGAAACAGTCTTCCTCAGGCACCTGCAGTTTTCAGAACACTCAGAGGTGGTCCCTTGGATAATCCTGTTGCCTCAGGGGGGAACTGGTTCATCTGTGACTGCTGCAGAGTATCAAAGAGAAGCACCTGCAGCCTTTCTGGAGGCAAGGCCTACAGCAAGCATCACCCACCTTTGATCTCATTGAGCCCTGGAGCCAAAACCCTCCTGCCAGGCCAGAAATGGACATTTAATATCAGCTGGATCCAGGAAGTGTAAGAAGAAAGAATTCAAGTGAGGCCTGGAGAGCGGCAAAGAGAGGCAGCTCTTGCTCACCCAGGCTGGAAGCTTGGTGCTTTACACATCCCCTTCCTACTCCCCACTGGTTCTGCTTTCACTTTTCTGGGGGCAGAAGACTGCTCTGGGTAATTTGAGTTGTAACTACTGAGGATGGAGGAGGGAGTAGAAGAGAGCTGGGTTAACCCCCTGTGGTGTGGGTGAGACTGGAAGAGGAAACTCACATCGAACAGCCAAGAGAGTGTTCCCATGGCAGCAGGACACTGAAGTCACCACGTAAGGATGAGTCTCATCCAGCTGCACTGGCCTAGGGAGTCCAGCATCCTCATCCCTCCTTCCCAGTCGACCTCGGGCTCCTTTGCCCCAAGAATAAACTTCCCCCTCTGCCAAGAATTCAAAAGAGTAGGACACAGCCTAAGCAAGCAGCCAAACACTGGACAGTAAGAATGACTCCAGAGGGAAGGTACTGAGCATAACCCACCACATGCTTGCCTTGTCCACCCTCATCCTGCCCACCCTCACCTGCCCCGATGGCTACAGTGAAGGCATCCCCACAGGCCACTGTCACCATCTTGATGCCCTCTAGGCCTTGGACCCGACAGGGCGCCCTGCTGACCCGGCGAGAACTGGTACCCAATTGCCCATGCTGATTGCTGCCAAAAGTATAGCATTCACCGGAGGCTGCAGGGATGGAAAGAAAATAAAGGGCACTTGAACAGAAGTCTGGAGGAGCCCAGGTGGATCCCCCTTAGGCCTCCCATGCCTGGGTCCTACTCACCAGTCACAGCAGCTGAATGAGCAGTACCCAGGTCCACACACAGCAGAGGCTCCTGGTCCAGAGGTGCAGAGCCCAGTGGTGTGAAGCTCAGGGCCTCCTCCACTTGCTGGTGGGGAACAGGCTCCTCCTCCAGGGATATGTGGTCCAAGCCTAGCTTGTTGAACCTAAGGATGGAGCCAGAAGCCAGAAGTTTGTATAGGCTGCCTTTCTCACACTAGCCTCTGCAGGGATTGCTAGGATCTGTCCCACCAGGAGACAGATCCTACCCTGACTTGAATCACACAGTAGTTTCATCCCTCTTTAGTTCTGATCCTTGGAAGGAGGGAGGCAATAAGGACTGAAATGCTTTGTAGCTAAGGAGGGTGGAAAGGCAGGATTATCACTCTGATGCATCTACTTACCTGTTACTTCCGCAGGCCAGGACCCTGCCAGGCAAGGCGAGGATCATGGAAGAGTCAGTACCACAAACAACTCTCTGAGCTTCCTGTCCCAGAGGCACAGGCACCTGCTGGGGGCAGCTATGGGACTCCCTGGTGCCAAGTCCCAGCCTCCCTACAAGACAACAACAACAATAAGGGGTTACTCTGAACTTTAGGGATGGCAATGCCAGGATGCAAAGAGGGTGAATGAAGGCTGATCTCACTCTGAAATGCTTTTCTTAGGCCCTACGGCTGGTTGACATCCTCTAAAGCCTTGCTTGTGATTCCACCAGCAGCTGGATGTGATAAGCACACCTCTAATCAACCACAGCACTCAGGATGCTGACCCTGGAGGGCTGCCATGAGAGTGAGGCAAGCCTGAGCTACAGTGAATTCCAGGCTAGCTGAAGCTGCATAGCAAAGTTCTGTCTCAAAAAACAAACAGGCCAGAGAGATAGCTCAGCAATTACGAGCACTGTCTACGCTTCCAGAGGACCCAGGTTCAATTCCCAGCACCCACATGGCAACTCACAGCTGTCTGCAATCCAGTTCCAGGGGATCCGACGCCCTCATACAGACATACATGCAGGCAAAACACCAATGCACATAAAAAATATATATATATGTTATTTGAAAACAAACAAAAATTTAAGAATCCTTACACTCAAAAGGCCGAGGCAGCAAGACAGCAAGTTGCAGGTGAGACTGTCTCATAAAAAGGAAAGGCCCAGCCGGGCAGTGGTGGCACACGCCTTTAATCCCAGCACTCGGGAGGCAGAGGCAGGCGGATCTCTGTGAGTTCGAGGCCAGCCCGGTCTCCAAAGCGAGTTCCAGGAAAGGCGCAAAACTACACAGAGAAACCCTGTCTCAAAAAACCAAAAAAAAAAAAAAAAAAAAAAAGGAAAGGCCCTATGCAATGCCACCTGCCTCCCCTGGCACCTGCCCCCTTTAAATCCAGTGTTAATCTTTGCTATAGCTCTGGTATTCTCTAGCATCCGTCCCCCCCCACACACACACACACTTTACACTTGAGACCTCCAGGACAGGAACCCATCTATGACATCCCCACTTTCAGTACCCAGCTGGGTGGGCTGTGGGTATAGGTCACTGACAGAGTGTGTACTTACTACTGTGTGTGAAGTTTGAGTCCCAGCATTACAAAAAAAAGGTTTAAGTACTGTCAGAAGAACAAAATCTGCCTTACGTCATAAGCCTGAATGAATCCACATTTTTGTTTTGTTTTGTTTGTTTTTGAGACAGAGTTTCAGCCAGGCAGTAGTGGCGCATGCCTTTGATTCCAGCACTCAGGAAGCAGAGGCAGGCAGATCTTTGTGAGTTCAAGGCCAGCATGGTCTACAGAGTGAGTTCCAGGACAGCCAGAGCTACACAGAGAAACCCTGTCTCAAGGGGGGAAAAAAAAGAGTGTGAGATAAACAGGGTTTCACTATGTAGCCCTGGCTAATCTGGAACTTGCTTTGTAGCCTAGGCTAGCCTTGAGTGCTGGGATTAAAGGCCTGCACCACCACATCTGGCAACATCCCATTCATTTTACCAGCTCAACACCTAACAAGGGGTGAACACATGGTAGGTATGAAATAATGGTGTGTCCAGTGAATGAACACACTTGAGGAAAAACAGGAAGAAAACAATGGGCCATGGAGAGGAGGATGGGCATGATGAGGAACAAACCACGATGGAGAAGCTGTGAGACGGACCCTAAAGGCTGGAGCTGGGAAGTGGCCTTACCACCATCTCCTCGGCCCCAGGCAAACAGTTCTCCATCTGTGGACAGGGCCAGCACATGAGAGGCCCCACAGGCCACCTGTACCATCTCATAGCCCAGCAGGGCTTCCACAATGGTGGGCTAGAGAGAGGGAGAAAAGTGGGGTGATTGAGGTGTATGGGACTTGTCCTCTCCCCTGCAAGCAGGAAGTTAGAGGCTGCAAGTTCTCAGAAGGGCACTGTCTCTTTAACACCAACCCCACACATGCATGGCACAGCAACAGGTGGGAAGCTGCTGGGGAAGCTTTCTGTACTTCCCCTGAGCTGACCCAGAACAGGTGCAGCCTGGGAGCTCGCGGCACATGTGGCTCCGGGGAACTCCCCTGCCCCCGATCTGCTGTCAGCTCTCAGAAGAGGGCTCCCTGCCACCCTCTCACTTTTCTCCAGGGTACGTGGCACACCCACCTGGCTGATGTCGGTGAGGTTGCCGTGGCCTAAACACCCGTTGCTGCCGCTGCCAAAGGTCATGATGATGCCTCGGTCTGGGAAGAAGCCAGAGAAAGACCAGAGGAGTGGGTCTGCATTCGAGCAGTTTGGTTCACTTACAGGATGGAGGAGGGAGGTAATACTGGGGGCTAAGCGGGGCGCAGTGGTGCACGCCTTTAATCCCAGCACTCAGGCGGATCTCTGTGAGTTCCAGGTCAGCCTGGTCTACAAGAGCAAGTTCCAGGACTGCCAGGGCTACACAGAAACACCCTGTCTCAAAAAAAAAAACCAAAAAACACATGCCTGGTCTGGTGGCAGGTCTGTTACTTGGGATAAGGGAGAACTGCAAGTCTGGCTGGTCAAACTTAGTGAAACACTGCCTTTAAAAAAAAAAAAAAAAAGTAGCCGGGCGGTGGTGGCGCACGCCTTTAATCCCAGCACTTGGGAGGCAGAGGCAGGCGGATCTCTGTGAGTTCGAGGTCAGCCTGGACTACCAAGTGAGTTCCAGGAAAGGTGTAAAGCTACACAGAGAAACCCTGTCTCGAAAAACAAAAAACAAAAAAAAAAAAAAAAAAAAAAGTAAAGTAAAAACAGCCTCCTAGTGTGGTAGTGCATGCCTTTAATCCCAGGACTCAGGAGGGAGAAGTAGAGGAATCTCTAAGTGTTCCAGGATTGCAGGGCAAGACCTTATCTTAAAAAACAAAAACCAAAACCTGGGACCGTAACTCAATAGTAGAATGCTTGCCCGCCATGTACAAGGTCCTCGGTTCAGTCTCGAGAGTGTGTGTGTGTGTGTGTGTGGGGGGGGAGATTGAAAGGAGGAGGAGGGAAGATATTAAAAAGGGGCTGGAGCCAGGCAGTGGTGGCGCACGCCTTTAATCCCAGCACTTGGGAGGCAGAGGCAGGCGGATCTTCGTGAGTTCGAGGCCAGCCTGGTCTACAGAGAGAGATCCGGGAAAGGCGCAAAGCTACACAGAGAAACCCTGTCTCGAAATATCAAATAAATAAATAAATAAATAAATAAATAAATAAATAAATAAATAAATAAATAAATAAATAAATAAATAAATAAAAAGGGGCTGGAAGGGTAGGATGGAGGGAAAGGCATAGGTGGTCTCCTTCCAATGTGTAATTCTGGACTAGTGAGAGCCTTAGTTTCCCCATCTGTCAATGGGCATACTACAACACGCTCACTGCCAGCCTACTGTGCCAGGAAAAGGCGCTGGAGTCTGCGCATCTCAACAGCTTCTAGACAGAGGCAGTAACCCTTTAGGCGAGAGAAGCATTAATTGACCAATTTGGGATGAGAGAACTTGCACTGTCTGGCTTTCTCCTGTCTCCAGAGTACTTCCCTGACAAGCTCACCCGTCAGGCAAGCCGTGAACAGGTCCCCGCAGGCCACATGCTTGATGGTCACACCCGACTGGCCCTCCAGGAACCGGGAGACGAACTGGGGCTGAGGCTGCTCCACTGCCCCTGGGAGGAGCGTGCCTCCTCCAGTGCCTAGGGGCGGGGCCTGCAGGGGAGTGGGCGGCGCCTGAGGACCCCAACTCCATTTCTGGTCTCCCACCCTCACCGGAACAAGCCCACCGCCAACCTGACCTCCCACAGAATGAGGCGCCCGGAGCGTGTGACGCCAGCTTTCTGCGTGCGCCCTGCAGACACCTGGACCACCTCAGTGTTGAGCATCGGGAGCCTCAGGGGGACATTAAGGCCACCACCCCACGCATACACCGAAGACAGTGGCAGTGGGATGGCCGGTCTCACAGGTCCCCGGGGAACACCTGCAAGGGCAGAGTTTGAGGCCAGTTAAACTAGTGGAAAGGGTAAGGAGTCTACGGAGCTCCAGCAGCTGGTCCCGACTCACTCACCCCTGCATCGGGCACTGGTGGCCCGGCTCCCTGTGCTGCCGGGGGCCATAGGTGGTCCTGGGGTCAGGGACTTCTCTGCCCTGCAGGATACAGAGGGGCCTCAGGACGAGTCCTGTCCCTGGCAGTCCTATGTGACTACACACAATGGTTAGTTAGCTCTAGATCTCCTGTGTTCCCACCCCGCCCGCCCCTGTGGCCCCGGAACCCATCTCCCTGCACAGGCCTCCGCATGCGGACGCTGCCCACATCGGTGTGGAGGTTGAGGAGGGCCCGGATGCAGAGGGGTTGCGCCATGATGTGACTGAGGGGCGGCCGCTGTGCAGGCTCCAGGCTGAGCAGACTCAGGACGAGCTGGCGCAGCTCAGGGCTGTACCGGTCAGAGATGGGCGCAAAGGTACCGCTCATGATCTTCAGTACCAGGGCTGGCAGGTTCTGTGAGGGTATGACATGTAGGGATGGCCAGAGTGCCGGGCTGGGCTCTCAGGTAGGGCAGTTCTCCCACTGAGGGAATAAAACAGGTCTACCCTCATGACACCCAGTCTCATCAGAGAAGGCAGAATGGAAGGAGAGCCTAACACTGCTTTCAGAACTTCCTAGTCGGATAGGAAGTTTCAACTATGTCCGCAGAAATCCCAGGTGCTTTGGGAAACTCCAGGCTTGCTCTCGGGAATGTCTCTAATCTGATGGAAGAGCCGGAGATCACATCCATCCCCTCAGGAATTCTCACTCTAACACAGGACTCAAGCTGACCCTCCTCTGAGCTGAGCAAGGGAGGGAGAGGCCCAGCCCTGCCCTGGGGTAAGCCAGCAGCAGGTGTGGGACTGACGTGACTCAGCCAGCCACAAGAGAAGGAACACAGAAGTGGTCAGAGCTATGGCAAAGGAGCTGGAGTTCTGAGTCCCTTGCGGTTGTCTGTACTCACCGCAGCCTCGAAGGCTCTCTTGAGGCTGGCCAGCTCATATAAGACACAGCCCAGAGCCCAGATATCACTCTTCTGGTTGTAGGGCTTGCCCTCACACAGCTCGGGGGAGATGTAGCATGGAGTACCCACCACCTGCAGGAAGGAAGTCTGTATTACAGCCCTGGGAAGACAGGACCAGAGGCTGTGGCCAGCCAGAGACTCATTTGGGGATAGCCTCTCAAAGCAGGCCAAGCGGCTCCTCTCGCAGGACCACATAAGGGAGGAGGAAGAGGCAGGAATGTAGAGGAAGCCCAGCTATCAAGACCCTCGGTGCCCCCTGCACATCCGGGCACCGTGTAGGCCTTGCTCTTGCTGCTGAGGATCTTGGAGATGCCAAAGTCACCGATCTTGACGACCATGCGGTGTTTGTCGAGGAGGATGTTCTGGGTCTTGAGGTCCCGATGCAGGATGAGGTGCGTGTGCACGTGATGCAGTGCGAGCAGGATCTGCACGAAGAAGTGAAGGATGGTCTCCTCCTCTAGCAGGGAATTGCAGCGCTTCTGGATGAACTCAGCCAGGGTGCCACCTGTGGCCCAGAGAGCTCATCAAGACCCGGGCTTTCCCACACTGGGGACAACCCACTGCTTCAATGGAACAGGGCACTGGGACCAGAGAGGGCAAGGAGCCTGTCAGGGTCACACAAGTGGGGCCTCTGCCCTTCAGCCAAGTCCGATCCAGAAGGAAGCCACCTCATGGTGTCCAGCTCTCCTGGAAGGGAAAGGCCCCTGTAGGCGGAGGCATCTGACCTACCTGGTGCATATTCCATGGCAATCATAAGGGCCTTGTCCTCCAGGAAGTTCTCGTAGTACTCGATGACGTTGGGGTGGTTGAGCAGCTTGAGCACTTGGCACTCGTTCTGGGCTGCCTGCCGTTCCTCCTTGGTCATCTGTTCCACTGGGATCTGCTTGATGATGACCAGCTTCTGGTCAGCCTTGCGGAGGCACAGGTGCACTATCCTAGGGACACAGAGCAGGGGACAGCTTAGGGCAGCCTGTAGACCACAGGCTCTTTAGATGATCAAGCTGGGCACGGGGGAGGCTGAAGAGGACCTGGGGTTCAAGGTCGGTCTGGTAAGAACAACAACAACAACAACAAAAGGTCTGGAGAGATGGCTCAGCACCCACTTCAGTGGGCGGCCAAATCACTTGTAACTCCAGCTTCAAAGGATCCGATGACCGCTTCCGGCCTCCACAGGTGACATTCACTCACACACACACACACACACACACACACACACACACACACACACAATTAAAATGTTAAAAATAAATCCTGGGGGCTGGAGAGATGGCTCACAGTTAAGAGCACAGGCTGCTCTTCCAGAGGACCCGGGTTCAATTCCCAGCACCCACACGGTAGCTCACAACCATCTGTAACTCCAGGATCCAACACCCTCACACAGACATACATACAGGCAAAACACCAGTGAAATAAAAATGAATTAACTTAAATAAATAAATCTTGGAGCTAGGTGTGGTGGTTCACGCCTTTAATCCCAGCACTCGAGAGGCAAAGGCAGGCGGATCTCTGTGAGATGGAGGCCAGCCTGGGCTTCAAAGTGAGTTCCAGGACAACCAGGGCTGTTACACAGAGAAACTCTGTCTTAAAACAAACAAACAACAACAACAAAAAACCACAATAATAATTAATTAATTAATCTTGGGCTGGAGAGACGGCTCAGCAGTTAAGAGCACTGGCTGCTTTTCCAGAGGGCCCAGGTTTTGCTTCCCAGAACCCACATGGCAGCACACAACTGTCTAACTCCAGTTCCAGGCGTCCAACGCTATCTTCTGGCCTCCACAGGTACTGCATGACCATGGCAAATAGGCACATATGCATGCAAAAGACTCATACATATGATATAAAATCATCAAATCCTTAAAAAAAAAAATCTTGGGGCTGGAGAGATGGCTCAGAGGTTAAGAGCACTGCTTGCTCTTCCAAAGGTCCTGAGTTCAATTCCCAGCAACCACATGGTGGCTCACAACCATCTGTAATGAGATCTGGTGCCCTCTTCTGGCATGCAGGGATATGTGCAGACAGAACACTGTATAGATAATAAATAAATCTTTAAAAAAAAAAAAAAAAAAAAAAAAAACACTTGGGCCAGGAGGTGGTGATGCACGACTTTAATCCCAGCACTCCGGAGGCAGAGGCAGGCAGATCTCTGTGAGTTGGAGGCCAGCCTGGTCTACAGAGTGAGTTTCAGGACAGCCAAGGCTACACTGAGAAACCCTGTCTCAAAAAACAAAAACAAAAAACAAATACAAACCTCTAAAAATAAATACATAAATAGCAGTGGTGGTGGTGCATGTATGTACTCCTAGCACCCTGGAAGACAGAGACAAGAGGAAATAGATTTCAGGATTTCAAGACCATCTTTAGCCACATAGTCAGCTAGAGCCAGCCTGAGGTCCATGAGACCCTGTCTCAAAACAAGGCCAGCAAGCTGACTCACGGAATAAAAAGGCGCTTACTGTCAGGCCTGATATCCTGACCCCACCCATTCGATATGAATGAGAGCATGATTCCCACAAGCTGCCTTCTGACCTCTGCACTCACAAGAAAGAACACCAGCTGGGCATGGTGGGGCATGCCTTTAATGCCAGTACTCCTCTGGGAGGCAGAGGCAGGAGGGTATTTCAAAGCCAGCCTGGTCTACACTGTGAGTTCCAGGACAGCCAAGGCTACACAGAGAAACCCTGTCTGAAAACCAAAAACAAACAAACAAAAAACAACTGGCCGGGCGGCGGTGGCGCACGCCTTTAATCCCAGCACTCAGGAGGCAGAGCCAGGCGGATCTCTGTGAGTTCAAGGCCAGCCTGGGCTACAAAGCGAGATCCAGGAAAGGCACAAAGCTACACAGAGAAACCCTGTCTTGGGGAAAAAACAAAACAAAAAAATAAGTAAGAAAAAAAAATAAAAAACAAACAAAAAAGACAAAAAAACCACAACAACTGTTTAAACCTCCTTGTAGCCTATGTAAAGCTGGGAATTTTCCTTTTTAAACCTGTTTCCAGTCTTACCAGCATGACTTCCTCATATATATATATATCTGTTCAATGCATTCATAAGCAACTTGTGGTCTCATCTACAAAAGAAAATGCTTTGTTTTTGTTTTAGACTTTTAAAAATATTTTATGTGCATAAATGTTTTGCCCGCATGCATGCATGTGCTCACAGAGGCCAGAAGAGGGTGTTGGTTCCCCGGAACTAGGGTTTCAGATGGTTGTGAGCCACCATGTGGGTACTTGGACTAGAAATGGGTCATCTGTAAGAACAAGTGCTCTAAACCACTGAGCTATCTTAAGAGTGTTACTATGTAGCACAGGATGACCTTGAAAACTCACTGTGTACCCCAGCTTGGCCTTGAATTATCTAGCCTCAGCTTTCTAAGCATGAGATTCTGGGTTTCTTTTTTTCATTTTTTTTTTTTTCCAGACAGGGTTTCTCTGGGTAGTTCTGGCTGTCCTGGAACTAGCTCTGCAGAGGCTGGCCTCCAACTCACAGATATCTGCCTGCCTCTGCCTCCCGAGTGCTAGGATCAAAGGTGTGCACCACCACTGCCAGAGACCAAGTTTCTGAAATGGTTTTCTAAGTAGAGGTCTGTAGAAAGAATTCATACTTCAGAGCTATTGACAACTGAATTGCTTCTGCAATGACAATAATTTCTTAAAAAATGCCCCCCCTGGGGGGAGAAAAAAGCTGGGTGGTGGTGGTACCCACCTTTGATCCCAGCACTCAGGAGGCAGAGACAGGCAGATTTCTGAGTTAGAGGCCAGCCTGGTCTACAGAGTGAGTTCCAGGACTGCCAGGGCTACACAGAGAAACCCTGTCTTGAAAAACAAAACAGAACAAAAAGAATCCCCTGGCTTCTAAAGCAGTCCCTTCCACTCCCATCACTTTTAGATGTAAGCTCTACATAGCAGAAATAAGGCACTTTAGTTTCCTAGATCTGGGGACCAAATCCCGGGCCATCTAACACTGAGCTACAGCCTCATCCCGAGAATGTCCTTGTAAAATCTACATGGATCATATCAGGTCACTCCCTTGCCTTTTTTTTTTTTTTTTTTTTTTTAAGATTTATTTGGGGTTGGGGATTTAGCTCAGTGGTAGAGTGCTTGCCTAGCAAGCACAAGGCCCTGGGTTCAGTCCTCAGCTCTGAAAAAAAAAAAAAAAAAAGACAAAAAAAAAAAAAAAAGATTTATTTATTTTATGTATACAATGTTCTGTCTGCATGTATGCCTGCAGGCCAGAAGAGAGCGCCAGATCTCATTACAGATGGTTGTGAGTCACCATGTGGTTGCTGGGAATTGAACTCAGGACCTCTGGTAGAACAGTCGATGCTCTTAACCTCTGAGCCATCTCTCCAGTCCCCTTGCCTTTTTTTTAGAGACACAATCTCATACAGCCCAGGCTGACCTTGACCTCGCTATGAAGCACATACATTTAGCTGAAGACCTTGAGATTCTTCACCTCAGGCTTCTACCTCCTGTGGTGCTGTGATTACAGACATGGGCCACCACATCCCATTTCAGTTTTAAAACTCTTCCCTGGTTTGGGGTGTAGCTCTTTGACGCAGTGAGTTCAATCCCTAGCACAAACAAGAACGAAACCCCTCTTGCTTTTTATACTTTAAATCAATGTGACCTCCTACTTCAGTTTACAGGATCACAATCTGGTCCAGCCCTCTATGACAATCACACTCTTTACCTTGCCCCCCACATTCCAACCACACTAGTCTTTTTCTCCGTTTCTTGAAGGCTACACATATCTGCCTGTTGAGGACCTTTGCAAAGCTGCTTCATCGGCTAAAAGGACTCTGCCTCATTTCTTCAAGTCTTGACTTTACATCTCACCTCCTAGAAAATTCTTCCTTTCCTGGTCGACTCCTTAAGTTGCCTTTGGGAACTTACAAATTAAATCCAAGCATGGATACACATCTTCAGTCCCCCCTTTTTTCTTCTTTTTCTAAAATCTGAGAAGGGTAGCACTAAGTTGCCCAGGTTGGCCCTTAACTAGTTATATAGTCCAGGCCTGCTTGCTTGCAAAACCTGGCCTGCTGTCTTTAACGTTTTCTTTTGGAGACAATCTCTATATAGACCAGGTTGGCCTCGAATTCACAACAGTGCTCCTATGTCTGCTACCAAGTACTGGAATTACAGGCATATACCATCCCATCTGGTATGTGGCCTCATAATAAGTCTATAACTGTTCAAACTTCACTAACTGATTTAACAATATCATGTTCATGTTTATTTGTATCAGTTTCCTATGGGCTAAGTTCTTAAAGGGGAAGTACCATGCCTGTTTTGGTCATAACTGTATATATACTCCAGGCAGTCTGACCTGTGCAGCTAACGCTCATTATCAGTTGCAGCAAAGAACAAGCAATCTGTAGGAACAACTGTTTTCCAAGAGCACTGGCTGGTCGGGTGGGCGTGATTCCGCCGGGGGCGGGGCCTCCCGCCCAGACCTAAGCACAGGACGCCTGGGCGGGGCATCCCGGAGTGGCGCTCTCGCTTCGGGGCGGGGCCAGCAGGACCAGGACTTCTTGGTCAGAATTGGGGCTGATTTTCTTTCTCCCTTAGCATTTCCTCCCCAAAGCCCTGGCTCACCCGAAGGCACCTCTTCCCACCACTCGAATCCGCTCGTACTTCTCCATCTCATGTCTCAAATACGCTTCTGGAATTCCCGTGCGGCGCGTGCGCGGACCCGCCCATCCGGGAGCTCCGCCTTGCAGCTGCGAGACGCTTGCAGGGCGGAGCCGACGGGACCCGGGCGTCTGTTGAGACCCGCGCCTTTTCTTTGACTGTAAATCGCGTTTCCCCAACGGCCCTGCCGTTGGTCGGAGAATAGACATTCCTGGTTTCTGGGCGAGCCCCTCAGTGCTCGGCACCGTACAGCCACTTTGCACACGCGTGATTTGGCGTAGGTCGTTTAGACTGGAGCGATGCGGCGCTCACTTAAGTTGACCCGCGCAAACAAGATTGTCCCTCAAAGGTTGAACGGGGTGGGAAGCGAGGATCGAGTCCCCGCTGCCTAGGCGTGGCAGGCACAACTTCAGAAAGATAAAGGGATTCCTTTCTGGCACGTAAAGGATAAACCACCGAGAGTCTGCTGTGTGGGGCGGGAAGCCGGGGGGTTGTTTGGTGTTTGCCAAGGGAGAGACCCGGAAAACCCCAGATGGGCAAACTGATTCACCTGGAGAGTACGTGACGTGGTCTCTGGGCTGTGGCAACTACCGAGTACGGCGCTCTTGACTTTGCAGAACCCTGCACAAAACTCTGCCGTAAGGGGACCATCTCGAATGGAAGTAAACCTCTGCCCGAAAGTGTCAGGATGGGGGAAAACCCGAGAGGGTTTTACGCTTCTGTTCAGAAATAGTTGGCTAGTCAGTATCACGACTAGGGTTTCGACCAGGGTAAATTTAATCCTTATTCATGACGCCGCTGCTCTAAGGGAGTTATAGAACCCCAGTATTCAGGACCTGGTCCCTAGCTAAGGGTTACCCTGTTTCTGAATGGGTGAGGAAGGCGTGGGAAGGGATGTTTATCTTTTGTCCCCGCCCCGCCCCAAACTAGCCTACGTGGAAAGACGGGAGGGAGCCGGCGGTCACTGGCCTGTGGGCCGATGGACAGGCTTTCCAGTGAGCAAACTGGAACTTGGGAGCAGAAAAGGGGGTGAACTGCTCACCCAAGACGTCATGCTGTCACTTAGTAACCGACCGGACCTTGGGTGATCCTGGAGCCCCATGGGGGCTAATGTGTAAACCGGGAACCATCAGGGAAGACAGCAAACACCCAAAAGGCTTTGACCCCTGGGTGCCCGAGCTGGGGTTTTGTCTTTTTCCTTCTAAAATACAGTTTTACTCCCCACTTTCTGTTCGCGTCCTCTACTTCCACCTCCCTAAAGCACACCGCTTCACTTCCCGCACCGGCTCTAGGCTTTTCCTCGGGGTCTGCATATCCCGCTCCGCAAAAGCGCCTTTCTCACTGTGAGTCGGGCTTGGACCCCGCACCACAGTGAGGACAGGCTGACACCTAGTGGCCAGAAGCCGCAACTGCTTCAGGCCACTGCCCTGGAGAGAGGGTCACCCCAGCTGTCTGGGCAAATCCGCAGCCTTCCCCGCCCCAGCCTCCAAGGAGCCAGAAGAGGGTTGGGAGTGTCCGAGGGAGGACTGTGACAGCCGCTGGGCTCCAGAAGCCCAAGAGTGGTGAGGAGGAGAGGTGTGATGACGGGTGACTCAACAGTTCCCAAGCACCATTCGTACGGGGTGCGGGAGAGGCAGGTAAACACGTCGGTCTAGGTCCTGGAGAGGAACCGAGTCTGGGCGGATCCGTGGTCCGCGGCGGCGCTCCCTGTCCCCCAGGACCAGGATTTAGCCGACGCTGGTGTGTGATGGTCCCGCCCAGCTCTGCCCTGAAAAAAAAAAAAAGAGTTGAGAGAGGAGCGTTCTCGCGGTACCCGCCCAGGGTGTGCGAGCCGGTGGCCGCGGAGAAAGTGAGGCGGTACGCACGAGGGGAGCCGAGCACTCCTTCGGCTGTCGGGAGGCGCCAGAGAGGGGTGCCTCGGCGGCGATGGCGGGGACAACCCCTACGTGCTCGATGTCGGCGGGATCCGGGCGGGGCCCCGGGGGACACGGGGCTCGCGCGCTTCTGGCGGCAGAGGCGCCCGAGGGGCGGGGGCAGGCGGCGGGGCGGGGCGGGGGCGCGGGCGGCAGGGGCGGGCAGAGGCCGCGGGGAGGAGCGAAGGGGCCTTGAGGGCTCCGCGAAACTGTGGGTCTGGCGGCCCGCGGTAGAGGCAGGCGATCGTGGCGTGCTGGCCAGAGACGGAGTAGTGTTCCCAGAACTGCCGGAGGAGTCGGCCTAAAGAGCGGACAGACAGACGGCAGGGAGGGCCAGCATGCACCTACTGTTGCACCCCGCCTGGCCGCTGCTCCTGGGCGCCACGCTGACCTTCCGGGCACTCCGGCGCGCGCTCTGTCGCCTGCCCCTGCCTGCTCACGTGCGCACCGACCCCCTGCGCACCTGGCGTTGGCACAACCTTCTCGTCTCCTTCACCCACTCCATTGTATCAGGGATCTGGGCACTGATGTGGTGAGTGAACAGCCCGGGATAGTGAGATGGCCGTGGGATCTTTCGCGGGGTGCTCGGACTTTACTCCTTGTTGCTATTCCCATCACTCATGGGTGAACAGACGCCAAGGAGCTCACCTGATTCTCTGTTTGGAAAACTACCCAACCAAGAACGGCTGTGGGAAACCCGAGGTACCTGGGCTTCGGCCAAGCCCCTCCTCACTCTCCAATCAGCCAATAGTGGGCGCCCAGAGTGCCCTGGGACTGGCAAGTGTTGGGGGAGGCGAGGGTCCTCCGGGAGGCTGCAACCGCGAGAACATCCCTTTCCTCCATTTCAGCATATGGCAAACCCCCGAAATGCTGGTGGAGATTGAGACGGCGTGGTCACTTTCCGGCTATTTGCTTGTTTGCTTCTCTGCAGGTAGGTTATGCCCAAAGAGGCCGAGAGTAAGAGGCTGGAAGGCAGCTAAGCGTACTCAGTCTGTTCTTTCCCTACTAGGATACTTCATCCACGACACGGTGGACATTGTGGTTAGTAAACAGACTCGAGCTTCTTGGGAATACCTTGTTCATCATGTCATGGTAAGTGAGAAGCCGGTGATGTGATACAGACGTGGTCACTACCCTTTGAGCCAGGGAGGGAGGCCATCATCTTATTAACCCCAGTAGTGTCAGACTTCTAGGTTGCCTAGGAGTCTCAATGTTTCTGCTCCCCCAGGGTTCCGAGTGCCTGGGTCACCTACGGTCTAGGTAAACTGACTAGGAATGTCAACAGAGCTAAACCCCAATGAGCAAAGTCTAACCCTAGTGGATGAAAACAACTCAGCTGTAAAAATTGGCATCTCTCAGCTGTTTCATGTGCCCTGAAACAGTAGGGGCACCTTTTTCAGTGTTCCTAAAACAGCCCTCTTTACTTGCCCCTAGGCTATGGGTGCCTTCTTCTCTGGTATCTTTTGGAAAAGCTTTGTTGGTGGTGGCGTCTTAACACTCCTGGTGGAAGTCAGCAACATGTTCCTCACCCTAAGGATGATGATGAAAATCAACAACGCCCAGGACCATCTCCTCTACCGGGTCAACAAGTATGTCAACTTGGTCATGTACTTTTTATTCCGCCTGGCCCCTCAGGTCTACCTCACCAAGTTCTTCCTGCAGTATGCTGGCCAGAGGACCCTGGGAACGTTTTTGTTGGTCATTCTGCTCATGCTGGATTTGATGATTCTCACTTACTTTTCCCGCCTTCTCCGCTCCGATTTCTGCCCTCAACGTGCTCCCAGCCGCCAACACAAAGACAAATTCTTGACTGAGTGAGAAAGGATAACCCAGGACATGTAGCAGGGACAGCAAGCATGGCCAGCCAACAGCCTTGTAACATAAACTAGGACTCTGCCTCAAGCCTGGGTGTATTCTGGGCCAGCCTTCCCACCTCACGCCTACACCCACACTATTGAAAACACTAATGAAAGCTCTTCTCTGAAGTCCTTCTTGGGTAAGGGTTGAGGGAAGCAGACCAACCGGTTGGGCATAGCAGAATGAGTGAGGACAAGACACTGTCCAAAAGCCAGTCAACCCACATCACCCTGAAATGGATGCTGACGACTCTAAAATAACCCCTCTGCTCTTCCAAACTCTGGTATTGGTTTCACAACAGCCTCTTCCAGGGATAAAAGGAGGAACTCTTGTAAAGCTTGTGCTCTGAACCTCTGATGGAGGCATGTCCCAGGACAACTAACACTTGTCTGAAGTAATAAATACTTCTGGTACTTGAGCTCTAGCCTGAGAGCCTTAACAGAGGCATCATGGTATGTTCCAATGGAGTAAATAGATTGAGAACAATGGTTTTTGGGCTTTTTTTTTTTTTTGGCTCAGAGCTGGGCTTCCCCAGCACCCACCATATATAAGCATTATTACCTTAATGCATACCACAGTATGACAATGCCACCAGCCCAATCAGAAATTGAAAAAAAGACAAGCAGAGTTATTTATGGTGAAAAAGTATATTTAGAATTAGCCAGCTGGACTCAGTTTAGATGATCCCAATCTGAAAAACAAACAAACAAAAAGGGTATGTTTGTGGAGCTGGAATGTTTAAGGTTAAGTGACCTGGGATGGCAAGATGGGGAGAGGGGGAGGTTGCTAGGAGTAAAGGCAGGACTGAGTGCAGATACAGCACCTACACAAGGGAGTTGACTGTGGATAGATAGGATGCTTACTTTGTTGGCAACATCCAGAGCATCATAGTCAGGAGCCAACCGAACATATGCCTTCTTCTCTCCATCAGGCCTGAGTGGAGAAGGAAGCCTCAGTTGGATGCTCTCACAGACCCAAGCCCTCCCATGTTCCACCCGTCAACCCTCTGCTGCATCAGTGGTTCCTTTGCTGGTGTCATTCGTTTCCAAACATTGAGTTTTCCATCATTTGCGCAGAGGGTCTAAGAGTCACCGTGAAGGACGGGACAGTTTAGTGAACCCACACAAGCTTTCTGCTGGGGACCACTCACCTTATGAGGGTGTTGACTTTGGCCACATCAATGTCATAGAGTTTCTTCACAGCCTGTTTGATCTGGTGCTTGTTGGCCTTGACATCCACAATGAACACAAGTGTGTTGTTGTCTTCTATCTTCTTCATGGCTGACTCAGTGGTCAGGGGGAATTTGATGATGGCATAGTGGTCAAGCCTAGCATGGATGGGAGGAACAAAATGGAGTAAACTGCCCTGGGCCGGGGTTCAAGAGGAGATACACATTGGAACCTAAGTCTAGGAAAGAGTAGGTGCATCAGACAGTAATAGCAATCATTTCTATCAGACTTTGGTCGCTACACAGTGTCATCACATGCACCTGAACCCTCCTGGGGGCAAACTCCGCATTAGAGCCAAAACTTGTATTTCTCTAGACTTGAAGGGTCCTCACCCTTTGAAGAAACTGAAGAATCATGCTTAATTCATACACATTCACCCACTCGAGTTCCATGTTAGCACTTTACTAGGAGGACAGATTTCCCCCTCCCCACGCAAAAAGACAAGAGAGACCTGTATTAAAAGGTTGGCTATGCTCTACAGACTGTTTTTTTTTTTTTTTTTTTTTTGGTTTTTTGAGACAGGGTTTCTCTGTGTAGCTTTGCGCCTTTCCTGGAACTCACTTGGTAGCCCAGGGTGACCTCGAACTCACAGAGATCCGCCTGGCTCTGCCTCCCGAGTGCTGGGATTAAAGGCGTGCGCCACCACCGCCCGGCTCTACAGACTGTTTTTTTAGATGGGGCCTTACAATGTAGACAAGCTATCCTCAAATCCAAGAGCCACCAAGTTCACACACACCCCTTATGGTCTGAGACAGGGTCTCATACATCACATGCCCAAAGATGACCTTGAACTTCAGATCCTCTGGCCTCAACCTCCAAGCATCACAGGTTCACCATCACACAGGATCTATGTAGTGCCAGAGACTAAACCCAGGAATTCAAGAGTTTTACCTAATGAACTACATTCCCAGCCCAAAAGTCAACAGCTAGTCTAAACCTTAGGATAACTTGAAAAGTCAGGAGACTTTTCCTTGAAATTCTGAGGAGTCAAGCTTTACTCATCCAACTACTTTAAGGGTTTTTTCCTTTGTTTTTTCTTTTCTTTTTTTTTTTTTTTTTTTTGGAGACAGGGTTTCTCGGTGTAGTTTTGGTGCCTGTCCTAGATCTCGCGCTGTAGAGCAGGCTGGCCTTGAACTCAGAGATTGGCCTAGCTCTGCCTCCCAAGTGCTGGTATTAAAGGTGTGTGCCACCACACCTGGCCAACTTTTGTTTTGAAGATAGGTCAGGACTCATATCAGACAAAATTCTAGGTCCAAACAGGAAAATGAGGTGATTCTAAAGAACTTCCCCCACATACACAGCCCTCATGTCTTCTTCAGTAAACACGTTTTATCCATTTCTCCAAACTTCCTTTGAACAGTGTTAAAATTTGATAGTTAATTGAAAGTTTATTTCTACACAAGATTAATTAGGAGGTCATCACTGCCCATTGCAGAGAAATTAACCAACCCACTCCCCTCATTCTCAAATGCCATGACACTTGGAACCCTAAGCAGCATCTCCTTGAAGTAGACTTTCAAATATTGATCATGTTAATAATTAACATACAAAGACCTCACGCTTCCACCAGAACAGCCCATTGAACAAATAAGGTAAGCTACTGAGTGGGTAGTAAATTACCAACCCTAGTGCCCTACGACACACTAGTAAGTTTGGGGTCAGTACTGACTTGTTTCTCCTGGGCGCGCTCTTTCGAGGATATTTAGGCTGCCTCCTGAGCCGCAGGGTCTTGGGCCGCCGGAACGTGGGTGACGTGCGGATCTTCTTCTTTTTGTGGCTGTGGACGCCTTTCAGCACTGCCTTCTTGGCTTTCAAGGCCTTCGCTTTGGCTTCGGCTTTGGGAGGGGCAGGAGCTGCGAGAGAAGGAAATGTAACTAAGAATGCAGCGTTCATAAATTGATCCCTTCCGGCGGCCCTGTCAACACGCGCATCAGTGGTTCCTTTGAAGACATCATAGGTCTCAGGAGACTTTAAATTTTTTCCATCATATGCACGATACTGGCAAGCGAGGATAATTAACCCGGAATAACGGGGGAAAAAAAAAAAGAGGGTATCCTTTATAGGTCTGGAGGCTCGGAGCGCCACCCTGTGGATGTTAAGTAGCTTCCCAAAGCTAACCACTTGGTTATCAGTGGCAAGTGATGCCGGCTGGGTCGCCTCTCCAACTCCCTTCACTGGAACTAGCCCATGCGGCTTGGCCCACGCGGTCCTCATACACTGCAGTGGGGGCCTAAACGCGACAGTAGCTCCAAAACAAGTCCCCCATGGCTTAGCCCAGTGGGCATCTTCCCCGTGAGTCCGCTGGGCCGATAGCCCAGGCCAACCCGCCACAGCCCCATGCCGCAACACACCTTCCTTCTTCGCTTTCGGCGCCATCTTGGCGAAAAGGATTGCCTATTCTCGTTCCCATGAGCTTATAGGATGAAGTCTCATCAAAGCCTCGCGAAAGTTTATGCATAGCGTTGATTGGGTGATCAGAAGTGTAGGGCTTCCTGGGAATTGCAGTTCCATTTAATTTCCCAGCGTAAGATCAAGCATGCGCCACTCGTCCCTTCGAAAGGCCTCAAGGCTTCATGGGAGTTGTAGTTTTTTTCCCCCGGACACAAGGTTTTTCTGGGGATTAGTAGTTTTTAAAAGATCCAAGTTTATTTCTCTAGGCTTAAGTCTGTGGGTGGTTATAGCACCTGCTGGTTGAGTCTGGTCCTTGCCACTTCACTTCTTGAGCAATTTTCAGCCTTAGAGAAGAGATTTACAGTGTTAGAAGCCAGTAACATTACCAACTGGGAAAAATACAATTTGGGAAATTGGAAAGCAGCTCAGCACTTAAGATCATGTACTTCGCCAGGTGGTGGCGCCCACCTTTAATCCTAGCACTCGGGAGGCCCAGGCCAGCCTGGGCTACAGAGTGAGTTCCAGGAAAGGCTCAAAAGCTACACAGAGAAACCCTGTCTCAAAAAAAAAAAAAAATCATGTATTTCTCTTTCAGACGACCTGAGTTGGATTCCTAGCAGCCACACCTCTGTGGGCACATACCCACACATAGACAGTATTAAAAATAATTTTAAAGCTGATTGTGGACTCTACATGCCTTTAGTTCCAGCAGTTCAAGCCTGGCCTAGTCTACATAGCAAGGTCCAGGACAGCCAGCGCTACGTAGAAAGACCCTGATTCAAAAAAAGAAAAAATAAGCCGGGCGGTGGTGGCGCACGCCTTTAATCCCAGCACTCGGGAGGCAGAGCCAGGCGGATCTCTGTGAGTTCGAGCCCAGCCTGGGCTACCAAGTGAGTTCCAGGAAAGGCGCAAAGCTACACAGAGAAACCCTGTCTCGAAAAACCAAAAAAAAAAAAAAAAAAAAAAAGAAAAAAGAAAAAATAAATAAATGTAATTTGTAGCTTGGTGTGGTGGCAAACACCTTTAATCTAGTACCAGGAGGTAGAGACAGGCAGATCTCTGTAAATTTAGGATCAGCCTGGTCTACATAGCAATTTACAATCTAGCCAGGTATATATAGTGAAACTGTATTTCAAAAAAATATATTGATAGATAGATAGATAGATAGACAGATAGACTGAAGCCCTTCGTAGGCCACATCTGTAATCCCAGCACTCTTGAGACAAAAGATGGACACAAAGTCAAGGCTAGCCTGTTCTGCATAGTAAGTTCCAGACCAGCCAGCGCTACATGTAGCGAGACTATCACAACAAATAAACAAAGTACACATAGAACGCAATGGGACACAGGGAGAAGAGAAGCAAAGACGTACGATGTTAGAACAGGATTTTCTCTAACTTTTCCATATAGCATCTGTGGAAAATTGAGGGTCCAGAGATAGATGTGATTTAGTTATTACCACAGTGGTTGGGTGGCAGAGAAAAAACGGAGCATGAGATGGAAGAGAGTTCCAGAAGAGCTACAAAACAGCCACACACACACACACACATTGAATTTCCCAAATAATTTTTAGTGTAATTTTTAAAGATTTTATTTATGTCAGGCAGGTTTTTCGAGACAGGGTTTCTCTGTGTAGCTTTGCGCCTTTCCTGGACTCACTCTGTAGCCCAGGCTGGCCTCGAACTCACAGAGATCCGCCTGCCTCTGCCTCCCAAGTGCTGGGATTAAAGGTGTGCGACACCACCGCCCGGCCCGTAAAATTATTTTCGATGCTACATCATAACTGTAATTTTACTAGTTATGAGTTGTAATGTAAACATTTGTGTTTTCCGATGGTCTTAGGTGACCCAGAGGGATAGCGACCTACAGGTTGAGGACCACCGCTCTAAGATAACCTAGTTTTTCCTGTGAATAATTTCATAGTCTTCAACAGTCCTGTCTAGGACTGTGTTCCATTCATCTTCGCATCTTCAAATTTAGCTCCAGACTTCTTCTTCTTCTTCTTCTTCTTCTTCTTCTTCTTCTTCTTCTTCTTCTTCTTCTTCTTCTTCTTCTTCTTCCTCTTCCTCCTCCTCCTCCTCCTCCTCCTCCTCCTCCTCCTCCTCCTCCTTCGTGTGTGTGTGTGTGTGTGTGTGTGTCTGTGTGAATGTGTCTGCACGGCGCGCAAAAAGTAAAAGTTGTTTTGGTTTTGACTGTTCTAATGGGGGGCGGGGAGTGAACACTGGTATTAGAAGGGAGTCCTAGAGTCCCAGAATTGTGATGCGGAATTCCAGTCTACCTGACATTTCTTCATCCTCTTCGGTAGGAGGCTCGACGGGGAAAACAGCAGATCTGAGATGTCTGGTCCTTGGTGGACACCTCGTTCTGATCTTGGCACCCCCTTTAGATGCTTCGTCCCACCTCTCGGGGCAGAAGGGCAAGCAGGGGCAGACTCTCTGTGAGTCATGTTCCAGGCCTGGAGTGGTGGAGGGAAGCGCCGCCTCTCCTTGGGCCCCTTCTCTCCCCCTTTTCCCCTCGGCGGCTCTGGGTCTTGCCAGATGCTGCGCTACAGGCACCGGTTCCCCATCACCAGTTCCGTTGGGTAAGGGGTCCCAAGGAAGATGCAGCCCCGACAGGGAGATGAAGGGGAGAGAGGTTTAGGGGATCCCGGTCTGGAAAGGCTCCTGGGTGGAGGCAGTCTTGGTGTGGGGTAAGGAATCTGGCCTGAGAGCTAGAGCCCGGGCAGCGCGCGGAAGGAGAGAGGAGGGGGGTGGCGAGGGCCGCGACTGGGGCGGCTGCTAGCCCCGGAGCGGCGGGGTGCGGGGCAGGGGCGGCCCTTCTCCAGGAATTTCCGGGGATCGTGTTACAGCGTTCGCGGAGTGGGAACGGAGTGGGACGGCAGGCCTCGCCGCGGGTCCAGGGCCCTCGCCCCCTCCTCTCACCGTTGGCGGGCGTCGGCAGCGCCGCCCCTGCGCGCACTGACCCGGTGTGGCGGGGCGGCCCCGAGCCCCCAGGCCGCTCTGTTATGGTAGGGCCATCCCAGCCCCGAGTTGTCGTCGGGTCTCCGCGGCCCCGCGTTATCGTAGGAGCTGTCCGACCCCGTGTCATTGTAGGGTCCACGAGGGCCCGGGCTCCCCGGGACGCGACTCCCCGCCCACAGCTAGCGGCAGGGGGGTCTCCCCGCCCCCGAGTGGTCTTCGGAACGCCCCGGGCTCGCGTAATTGTTGGCTCTCCCAGACCCGGGGTGATCGTCTCGTCCCCTTGGCCCGCGGTGGTCGTAGCGTCTCCGAGGCCGAGGGCTCCTGCAGGCTCCCCGTGGCCCCGGGTGATTGTCGGTACCCCCGCGGCCGCGGGTCATCGTCGGGTCCCCACGGGCCCGGGCCGCCGGGGCGGATCAGGCCTCCGCGCCTTCCCGGGGAGCCCCCCAAGGCCGCAGACAAGATGAACATTCTGGCGCCCGTGCGGAGGGACCGCGTCCTGGCGGAGCTGCCCCAGGTAGGCACCAGGGCCACGTCGGGCCTCTGGCTGTAGCGGAGTGTGGGCGGGGAGAGGTGGCACCCGAGCAGTGGGATTGGGCCCAGCCCTGTCGCCCAGCGAGGCCCGCTGTTCCTGGGTGGTCCACTTCCCACCCTACCCCCAACCTCTGGCGGCTTGGTCGCGGGACAAAAGCCCCATTCTCACAATGTCCCTCTCAGTGCCTGAGGAAGGAGGCCGCTTTGCACGTGCGCAAAGACTTCCACCCCCGCGTCACTTGCGCCTGCCAGGAGCACCGGACAGGCACCGTGGGGTGAGTTAGGGACACCCCTAACTAAAAAAGAAAACACTCAAGAAACTTTGAAGGCATTCGAATGACCCCTTTGAGGCTCCGTGGCTATGCCTCAGCTCTGACGTTCTCCCCTTTCCTCCCAACGAGGTTGTTTCGAGCCTATGGAGAAGGCATTCACCATGGGGAGGTCATACACCCATCCATAGAGCCTCTAGGCTGGGGTGTGTGCAGCTCAGAGAAAAGAGAGAGCATTTGTCTAATGTGTGTAAAACCCTGGGCCATCACGACCCCTCCCAACCCTCCGCCCCCAACGCACACACTCCAGGGAGAGAGAGAGGGTGAAAGTCCCTAATGTTGAACACTGCTCCCCAGCCCGTCTGTGCAGGACCTTCCAGGCTCCCAGGGAGGCCTGCTGTCGATAGTAATTCATACCTTTCTGCTTAGGTGCAACTAAGACCCAGTAAGAGTATTAGAACCCCCTAGAGTGAAAAGCTGATGTTCACTTCCTCTGTCCAGCAGATTTAAGATATCCAAGGTCATCGTTGTGGGGGACCTGTCCGTGGGGAAGACCTGCTTCATTAATAGGTAACCGGGTGCTGGAGCTTGGCTGGGCGAGGGAGGGCACAGTAAGATCAGTCTTAACAAGGCGGGCTGGGCTACAGGCTACTTGGTGCCTCCCCAGGTTCTGCAAAGACACCTTTGACAAAAATTACAAGGCCACCATCGGAGTGGATTTTGAGATGGAACGATTTGAAGTGTTGGGTGTCCCCTTCAGTCTCCAACTGTGAGTGTCCCGTCCACCCCTTCCAGCTAGCCTTGTCACCCCTGCTGCGCATACCGCTATCTAGATTCTACTCCTCTTGTCTTCCAGTTGGGACACTGCTGGGCAGGAGAGGTTCAAATGCATCGCTTCCACCTACTACCGAGGAGCCCAAGGTATGTATGCCTTGGGCCCTGGAATGCAGGCAGTCTGGGAGCGAGCACATCGAGCTTCCAAGTAGAGCTGGGGGGTAGGGAAAACGAGCCTCAGGCAACCTTCTCTCTGCCAGCCTTGGAGCTGTTTCTATCCCTCTTTCAGCCATCATCATCGTCTTCAACCTGAATGATGTGGCATCCCTGGAGCATACCAAGTACGTGAGGGTGCCCGGAACACAGTGGGAATTCCAGGGAGGGTTTAGAGAAGGTGATCAGAAAAAGAGGGCGTGTCTGTAGCTGCTCGGTAGAGCACCTGCCAGCAATACACGGGGAACTGGGATCAATCCTGAGTCATCCAGGTGGGGGGGAGAGAGAGGGAAGATGGTGGATGGGCTCTGTCGGGCTCACTCATTTCTTACTGCTCGTCCACCATCTGTGGCAGGCAGTGGCTCGCTGATGCACTCAAGGAGAATGACCCTTCCAACGTGCTTCTGTTCCTTGTGGGTTCCAAGAAGGACCTGAGTGTGAGTGTACCAGTGGGGGAACTTCCCAACTTGGTGAGGGGACCCACCCCCAATCTGACGCCAATTTTCTCACAGACTCCTGCTCAGTATTCCCTAATGGAGAAGGATGCCCTCAAGGTGGCCCAAGAGATTAAGGCTGAGTATTGGGCAGTGTCCGCCCTCACTGGTGAGTTGGGGGCCCCAGCCTTCTGCTGTGTGTGCCTGCTCACCTCTCCTCTCACTCCTACATCTGGAGCTGGGTCCAGTGTTCTCAGCATATGTTTCCCCTGAGCATCCATTTCTGTTCCCCATGTCAGGTGAGAATGTCCGGGAATTCTTCTTCCGTGTGGCAGCATTGACCTTTGAGGCCAATGTCCTGGCTGAGCTGGAGAAATCGGGGGCACGGCGCATTGGGGATGTTGTCCGTAAGTGCTTACCGAGTTGGAGGTGGCAGAGGGCAAGGGGAGGAACCTCCAATCCTGCTTCATACATACATTTCCCACCCTTTTCCAGGCATCAACAGTGATGACAAAAACCTCTACCTAACTGCCAGCAAGAAAAAGGCCACATGCTGTCCCTGAAGAGTGAGGACTGTCCAGAAACTGCCCGTTCCTGGGGCATTGTGCCACACCAACTGCTTCAGAACTCAACCCCTGGACATTTGCACTGTTTTTCCAGACCAAAGAACTGCCCCTTGAAGGCAGTGACCCCAGAGGGTAACTGGGACCATGTTAGTCACTTCCTGCCCCCAGGCACCATGCCAAAGACTGGATGACCCTTGACTCCTCTGGGGCTCTCCAGGGTGCCTGGTGGGGGCCAGTGTTCCTGCTGCTTTTGCTCAGCCCGCTGGGCCCTTTATGTATGATGATGCTTAATAATTCCAGCCTTATACTGTGCCTTATGCATTAAAATCTGTTATTAGCATGTTCTGCGATGGAGTCCTTTTCAGGAGATAATGTGGAATGAGTAGGGACATGGAGTGCTTTAGGGACTGGAACCCCTGTGGAGATTCTGTCCATTCCTGCCCGCTAAGACAGTGCTCACACTTGGCTGACACCTCAGAGACCAGGTTTTAGAGGACTTATTATATCCTTTAGATCCACATTGGGCTAAAATCTGAATAATTTCCCTTTTTATTCTTTATCATTTGTCTTCTTTCCTTCCTCTCTGTCTCCTCCTCTCTTTGAGGCAGGGTCTCTTGTAGACCAGCCTGACCTAGAAATGACTATGTACCTGAGTACTGAGACAGTGTCCCTAGGGAGAGACATGATTGCTGTGGGGTGTTCTGTATGGCAAATGTGTTGCTGATTAGTCAATAAATAAATCACTGATTGGCCAGTGGCCAGGCAGGAAGTGTAGGCGGGACAAGGAGGAGAATAAAGCTGGGAAGTGGAAAGCTGAGTCAGAGAGACACTGCCAGTCGCCACGATGACAAACAGCATGTGAAGATGCCGGTAAGCCACGAGCCATGTGGCAAGGTATAGATGAATAGAAATGGATTAATTTAAGCTGTAAGAACAGTTAGCAAGAAGCCTGCCACGGCCATACAGTTTATAACCAATATAAGTCTCTGTGTTTACTTGGTCGGGTCTGAGTGGCTGTGGGACTGGCAGGTGAGAGAGATTTGTCCTGACTGTGGGCCAGGCGGGAAAACTTAAGCTACACATGATCAAACCTCTATTTGTCCCAGGTAGGAACTGATGACAGTAAGCATATGTATCTTCTAAGTCCAACTTGGTGAACCATGAGTTTTATTCAGGTTACTTACAGGAGTATGGGTGAGTGTCTATGCTGCAAGCTGTAAAAATATATGAAGTGGGATTTCAGCTGATTATGACAAGCTAATGCCTGGAAGAAGCCAAGGGCCTTCCAGAGGTCAAGGAGCCTTGTTGATATTTGGCTTTTGATTATCAGCTGTTTCCTACTATGAGTTTCTTGTGTGCTATTATAGCTTGTCCATCATTCATTGGGCACAATCTCCCCTCTACTAAAGGAATATTTAGATAACCTTCTGAGTAGTATCGCAGCCAGGATCCCTAATTTCAGGCCTTTCTGTAATTATTGTTTTAGCAGCATCTGGCCAGGACCATACCCAGAGGGATGATGAAAGGATCTTATCAGAGATCTCTCTGTACTCTCTAGAACAGACTTAAGCATCAGACTATCTGTTTGAGAAGGCCTGGCGGATGTGCTAATTAAACTTAACCTTCTCCTTTCCAAAGTCTTATCTCTAGTTTTTTTATCCCAGAGGAATAAAGTAGATGGACAAAGAGCTCGGTGTACTTAGATTCTTTTCCCGAAAATAATTCTCGCCGTTCATGGTTTCTCTTCTGGGCCCCTGGGGAGAATATTATTAAGGCTGGTCCTATAATACTATTTGAGATGTCTACTCAGATACAGCTGCATCACCAAAAGCTACCCCAGTATGAGTGCCAGCTTATGGAACCTGGGGCTTGCTGCACAGCCTTCAGGCAGCTGAACAGGTTGGAGGGGCTTTCTTCCAGCCAGTTCAGCTTATCTGAGAGTATCTCTCAAGCAGTCCTGACTGCTTAAATACGCATGGGGAAGGAGGAACCTCGTATATCTGCTCAATGTCAGGACTTCCTGAAGTCTTTGCGTTGTTTACCTCCTGAGCTTAAGGAGCTTCCCTGCAGAACATCCTATGTCTTTTAAGGGGTTTCCATCTAAGATGGAAGGTTTTATGTCAGAGGAAATTGCTACAGAACACTCCTCCCCTTCCTTGGACTCTTAAATCCTTTCTGCCTCCTTTCCTAATGGTCCCTGAGCCTTAGAGAAGTTACACAGAAGTCTGACTGTGGTCAACTAACCCTAGTGGGATACTGATGTCTTTTTATGCATCCCCATCTTACAGAGCATAACTGGTGACAAGTCTTGGCAGTATTTCTTTTGCTATAAAACACCAGTGAGGAAAAGACAGAAAATGACCTATAGGCATAAATACAGATGTTGGGAAGCAGCTTAGCTGGGACATCATACTAATTTACCAAAGCAATAGGTGTTGATTTTCCACAGGGGCCTATGACGTCTCTGGCCATAGGTTTTTGTCTAAGGCCCATATTAGATGTGACTTTTCCTTTTTGGAGACTTTGCTTAAGTCCAATCAGAAAATTTGTTTTATTCACGGCTGCTTATGCCTCTCCTGCACTAGCTGACACAGCTTGTCTGGCCCTTCCATCATGAAGCATGCAGAATCCACAGCTGAGTGGGACATTTCGGCCATGATCCTCCCCAGCAACCTCGGTTGCACTTTCTGGTACTACAAGAGCTAGACCACTGGTAAGGGACCTTTTGGCTCAGTCCTAGACTTATTTTTCCAAGTTCTGTAACCAACACACGAGACATCACTAACAGGGTCTTACCATTCAGTTTTGGAATGTTGCTGACAGCAATGGGAACAGCCCTGTTGTCCCGGAGGCTTCTCTGGCCTCCCTGCCAGCAACTCCTATGGAGGTAATCCACCCCTAGCACCAGGGGTTTATGTTTATTTTATTTTATTTTTTTTTAAGATTTATTTATTTATTATGTAGACAGCATGTATGACAGCAGTCCAGAAGAGGGCACCAGATCTCACTACAGATGGCTGTGAGCCACCATGTGGTTGCTGGGAATTGAACTCAGGACCTCTGGAAGAGCAGCCCGTGCTCTTAACCTCTGAGCTATCTCTCCAGCCCCCAATGTTTAGTTTTGATAGGGTTTCATGGTTAGCCCCATGACCTGGACCTCAGAGATCCACCTGCCTCTACCTCCCGATTAAAGGCACATGCCATCACACCTGGCCTTGTCCCTGCTTTTTATTTTTTTTTTTCCTCTTTTGAGTTAGCGTCTCTCTGCATAATCCTGGCTGTCCTAGAACTCACTATGAAAACCAGGCTGGCCTCAAACTCAGAGCTGCTTTCGAGTGTTTGGATTAAAGGTGAGCACTAGGGCTAGAGAGATGTCTCAGTGGTTAAGAGCAATGACTGCTCTTTCAGAGGACTCAGGTTCAATTCCCAGCACCCACATGGCAGTTTACAACTGTCTATAACTGGGATCCAACACTCTCACACAAACTAGCATACAGGCAAAACACCAATGCACATTAAAAAAAGAAAAAAAAAAAAAGCCTAGCACCATCATGTCCAGTATTTTTTAAGAATATTTTTTAAAATTTATTTGATGTGCATTGGTGTTTTGCCATGGTTGTCAGGTCCCCTGAAACTGGAGTGGGTGCTGGGAATTGAACCTGGGTCTTCTGGAAAAGCAATCAGTGCTCTTAACCGCTGAGCCATCTCTCCAGCCCTGTCCTCTGCTTTTTGGTTTTAGAAGCTGCTTGGAGGGAAACTGAGAGATAAGCTGTGTGGAATATCTGCGAAGCATCTCTCATTCAGTCACTTGTATCTATTTTCCATCTCTGTTCCCACAGCTCTGGTTCCACCTTGTACAGAGCTGGTTAATTCAGTGTGCATGTGAGAAGCAACCTCAGTACCGGAGTGCTCCCAGAGGCCTGCGTGTAGAGTTCTGTGATCTGCGTGTGTGGGGGTGGGTGCACACATTGTTAAATTAGGTCTGTGTACTGTGTGTAGTCTTGGCATCCTTGTGTGTGATATACAAGTGTACATGCTGTGTTTGAAGATGTAAAGAGTGTGTACTGGGATGAAGTTACCGTGAACGTAGGCCACCTTACTGACTAAACAGGAGAATTAGCTGTATGGGGCCCAGAACCAAGTGGCCTATGGGACTGGAGGAAACCTGAAGGGGGGAGCTTGAGTGGATGGTCTAGTGGTCTGGGAGTGTGGGGAGGTACCATACACAGTGAAGGAGAGCCATCGTGTCATCAAGGAGAACCAAATCCAGGACACCCGCAATCCGCGTTCAAGACTACTCTCTGAACTGTCAGGGGCGGACCTTGTGGATGTCCCGGCCTCGCCTTGGATGGCGGGTCGGGTCCCCAAGTGCAAAGGCTCTGGAGACTGAGCGGGGCGGGGCCAGTACCTGCTGGGGGCGGGGTTTCTGTCGGGTTTTTCTAGAAGTAGGGGCCAGCGAGAGCCACTGAGTGCTGGGTCTGTAATGTAAAGGCAAAAGCAGGTACTGGCGTTAAGGGCGTGACGAAAGGGACCTGGAAGGAGCTGGAAATCCCGGATGAAGAACACGACTGACGCTTAGACCCGGGCTGGAAGACGGGGAGGGGGGAGGCGGGCTGGGGGTTGGGTAAGCATGAGGCGGAGCTAGGGGCTGGACTGGAGTTTACAGCTGGGCCGAGGGCTCCACCACGCTGAGGTTCAAGGTTGAACTCTACGAGGTAGAGTCCTGTGGAAGAACTGGGCTGACAACGATGTGGGTCAGGACGACACTAACGATTAAAAGATGGACTGAGGAAAAGCCTGGCTGCAAAACTGACATTTGGGACAAGAGCGAGAGCACCGGTAAAGGGGCGGGGCAGAAGGCTGGGGGCGTGGCTGGGCGGGCTCTGTAAGATCGCCTGCCTTGGCCAGGAGCAATAGCTCCCGTGCCAAGGTGTAACTACAGAGCATTAGGCTGCAGTCAGCCGCTGGCCTAGCCCTCTGCCCCAGAGGCGCGAGGCTCTGGCAACCACCACCCCTCGTCCCCGGCCCATTGCTCACCCTGATGCCGGGGATGGGCGATCGGTTCCATTGACCTTGAGTGCGGGAGGGAGTTTGAGGATTCCACACGTGACATCACAATCACTTCTAAGATGGGGCCTGAGCCTGGGAGACATTTCCCAGGAGAAGACTCAGTGCCCCTTGCACCCTCCTCTTACTTTGTTTCCTCCTTTCTTCTCTCTTCACACTGTCTCCTTTTGGCTGCTCTGTGCCCATCCTCTGGGCCTCAAAGGAGGGGAGGGGCTTCGCAGGACAAGGAGGATCCTCTACAAATGAGCATCACCAGTGAGTTTGAGTTTGACCCTTGCTACCTGTCCCAAGGAAGAGACCACAGCTTTTCTCTTCCTTTCAAGCTATTATCCATCCTCATTCTGCTGCAGGAGCTCTGGAGCGCTGCCTTGGTCACAGCTCCCCTCCATCCTCTGTAGACAAAGGGCAGGCTGCCTTTCTAAATCCCCTCCTTTTCCATCTTTCCTATTTCCCTCCCATACAGCTGATGGTGTCAGCATCTACAAAGCCTGTTCATAGTGACAGGAGGCAGGAAAACCAGCCTCGTTTCATCCTGACGTAGGCACAGGCCCTTACTAGAGTGACTACGATTCAAACTGAAGAGGGGAAGCTGGGGATTTGGATTAAGAAAAATCAGCAGTGAGGAATTATCAATGTTGGGGATTAAAAGCAAGTGTTGAAGGGTTGACCACTGGATAGGGAGCCGAATCTAGTTTTAAGACTCGGCTTTGGAGCTTACAGCATAGGGTGACCTTTGGCTTATGTGTCTCCTTAGCCAACAAAGAACACAGGACTGAAAGTGCACTGGCTAGGGAGCCAAGAAGACCACGGCTTTCCTCCTGCCTCTACTGTCTATTACCTTTCATCCTGGGCAGGCTACTTAGCCTCTCTGGGTCTGGGAACCTAGCTATACAATTTAGATTTGAAGTCACACTTTAAAAGCCCACTCTAGGATTTGGCACTGTGAGCGGAGCGTGTACATCCTGGGAATCTCCCCCAGGAGAGCTGGGGGCTGGGGTCACAGCTTATAGGTAAGAATGCTTGCTCAGCATGTATGAAACCCTGAATCTGATTCCCAGAGACTTCCCCTACTTCTTCCAAAACACAGCTCCAGTCAAAATAAGTAAGTAAATAAATAAAGTGAGCAGGGTGGCTCATGTCAGTAGTTCCAGGACTTGGGACAATAAGGCAGAACTACCATAAATTCAAGGCCAACCTGGGCTACTTGGGGAATTCTAGGCCAGCCTGTGGCTATGTGAAATGGTCTCAAAAATAAATATATAAAAAGATAAAACACAGTACCCAGGTTTGAACCAGGAACACATTTTGTGCCTCTTTGAGGCTCAAATAGTGAATTTATGTATTCCAATAGGAGACTGAACATATACACTCAGTCATCCAACAATGACTGAGCTATTTCCATGGCTCTCTGGATATGAAGGCAGATGAAATATGGTTATTATTCTTAAGTAAATACAGGAATGTCACAGTTCCTAGAACTATGGCAGCAGGTCAGTGGGCACATAAAGCACACAATTAATTCCACTTGGATAGATTGGTGTTTGTCTGAGACAATGTCTTGCTGTGTAGCCCAGGTTAGCCCTCCTGCCTCAGCCTACCAAGTTCTTGGATTACAAATGTGTGCCATCATGAGCAACATTTTCCCAGTGAGTTGAGCAGGTAGCACTTGGGAGAGCAGCAGGGGAGAAAGAATGGTAAAGTGAGGGGTGGGAAGAACTGTCAGCAAGGAAAGAACTAGGTCCTGGATCCTAAGGGCATGACAAAAAACCAGCACTTCGACTGGGCAGTGGTGGCACACGCCTTTAATCCCAGCACTCAGGAGGCAGAGGCAGGCAGATCTTTGTGAGTTCGAGGCCAGCCTGGTCTACAGAGCGAGATCCAGGAAAGGCGCAAAGCTACACAGAGAAACCCTGTCTCGAAAAACCAACCAACCAAACAAAACAAAACAACAACAACAAAAACAGCACTTCATTGTGAAGGCAGGATGTAAGCCAGGTCTGGTGGCACATGCCTATAATTCTAGTATATGGCAGGTAAGAGGGAAAGAAATGTAGTAGGCCAGTTGATAGTCTACAAAACTCAACTTGGCTGTGTGGGGAGGACTGAAGAAAGGTAGTGAGGACCACAGGTGGCGAGACCAGGCAGGAAGATATGGCTGTATCCTAGGTCAGAGATGATGGAGGTTGAGCTTGGCTTTGTGGCTCAAATCTTTAACCTCAGCACTTAGGAGGCAGAGGTAAGTGAGTCAGGCCAGCCAGGGCTGCACAGTGAGACTCATCCTCAAAAACAACTAACAGACAAACAAGGGCTCCAAACGAAGGCACAGGAAGGTAAAAGGGTAGACAGTTATGGCAAGAAATGGCATGGAAGTGAGAGAGGATTAGCCCTTGATTTCTAGCTGAAATGTCTGTTGCTTTCTGAAAAGGATAAGATACAAGAAATGCACAGGTGGCAGGAAGCTGATAGGTGTGTGTGGGGACACACAATTTCTTTTCTTTTTTTTGTTTTGCTTCTTTGAGATAGGTTTCTTAGTGTAGTTCTGGCTGTCTTGGAACTCACTCTGTAGGCCAGGCTGGTCTTGAACTCACAGAGACCCACCTGCCTCTGCCTCCCAAGTGCTGCAATTAAAGGCGTGATATAATTTTTTAAGATACGTTGGGAATGTTCGAGAGACTATTACTGGCTGTGCATACTCAGAAAATCAGTCTGCAGTTGAGCAGGTAGTGGCTCAGTGGTAGAGGTGGTTTTGCTTGGGTGGGTTCCAGTCCAACACTGTAAAACATCAGGAAAGCAGCCAAGGCTAGATTCAGGGTGAGAGCTAGTCTTTTTTTTCTTTTTCCTTTTTTTCCTTTTTTTTTGGGGTTTTTTTGAGACAGGGTTTCTCTGTGTAGCTTTGCGCCTTTCCTGGAACTCACTCTGTAGCCCAGGCTGGCCTCGAACTCCCAAAGATCTGCCTGGCTCTGTCTCCTGAGGGCTGGGATTAAAGGTGTGCGCCACCACCACCCGGCCAGTCTTTTTTTTTTTTTTCTCTGTGTTCTTGTCATTGTTGTTTATTAGGAGCCAGGGTTTCACCAGGTAGTCCAGGCTAGCCTTGAATGTCCTATGTAGGACAGGCTGGCTCAAGCTCATTGATTCTTCTGTCCTAACCTCCCCAGGATTGGGATTACAGTCATGTACCACCACACCTTGCCCGATTTATGTCATTTCATGGATGAAAATGTTAAGACTATGGACATATATGATATTATCCAAAAGCTTGTGTCTGTTGAGCAGGTGGCCAAAACCAGAACCCTGGTAACCACCAATTTAAGTAGTGTAGTGGAATGGGCAGTGGTGGCCCATGCCTTTAATCCCTGGTCTGCACAGTGAGTTCTAGGACAGCCAGGACTACAAAGAGAAACTCTACCTTGAAAAAAACAAACCAATAGACAAACAAACAAAAAACCCCAAAACAAAACAACAACAAAACAGCCAAACCCCCCAAACAAACAAAAAAGAAGTATAGTGGAGGAGAGGGACAATATTCGGGTGGGGTGGGCCACACTAGTGGACCGTGTCAGAAGCAGACAAAGCTGGTCAAAGCCGAGAGGAGTGGCTGTACACAACAAACCTACAGACACGATCATGCCGAACAGAGAAGAACCTCAAAGCGTCTTCACTAGACTAAGAGTAAGACAAAAGTGACTCATTTTCTCCACTCTATTGAGACAATCTCTGCATTACACTGGAACTCACTCTGTAGACCAGGCTGGCCTCAAACTCATAGATCCTTTTGCCTCTGCCTCCTGAGTGCTGGGATCAAAGGTGTGCACTACCACTGCCCGGCTGTCTCCACTCTTCATAATAGTGCTTGAAGTGTTAGCTAGAGCAATATGACAACAGAAGGAAATAAAAGGGACATAAATATGTATCATTATTTGGAGAGAAGACCCTATACCTAAGAGACAAGAAGGATCCCACCAGAAAAATGTAATAGAATTGATCCGTTCAACAAAGTGGCTGGTTACAAAATTAGATTACAGAAACGAATATCAAGTAGTGAGATGCTCAGCAGGTAAAGGCACCAAGCGTGATGGCGGGAGTTTGATCCTCAAGACCCCCATGGAGGAAGGAGAGAGCTGACTCCTGCAGGCTGTCTTCTGCCCTCCACATGCACACTGTGGCATGCATGCCCACACACATAGGCTCAGGATAAATGTGGGGAAAATAAGGAAGTAACCTCATTCCCAATGACCTGAAGTAGCAACAAGAAATTCTGGGGATAAGCCTGATCCAGGAAGCGCCTCAACAGTTGAAACTAACAACACTAAATAAAGAAACTAAAGACACTAAAGACGAAAGACCTCCCAACAACACTGAATAAAGACACTAAAGACACTAAAGACGAAAGACCTCCCAACAACACTGAATAAAGACACTAAAGACACTAAAGACGAAAGACCTCCCATTTGTATGGGTTGGAAGAATACATACTATGAAAATGGCAAGTTTTTACCAAAAACAGTTTGCAGATTCAATGTAATCCAACTTAAAATTTCAATGCCGTTCTTCACAGAAATAGAAAAATAAAGTAAAGCACAAAACCCACTAACAGCTAAAGCAACCTGAGTAAGGTGCTGGAGGTATCACCATGTCTGAGTTCAAGTGATACTACAAAGCCATAGCAACGAAAACAACATAGTACTTGCTCAAAATATACACATAGATCAATGGAATAGAATATAATAAAATAAGCTGTGGTGGCGCACGCCGTTAATCCCAGCACTTGGGAAGCAGAGGCAGGCAGATCTCTCCGAGTTCCAGGAAAGCCAGGGCTACACAAAGAAACCCTGTCTCCAAAAAAAAAAAAAAAAAAAAAAAAAAATTATATATATATATATATATATATATATATATATATATATATATATATATATATGTGTATACCCATGCAGCTACGGCCACCTAACTGTAGACAAAAATACACACCAGAGAAAAGACAGCCCCTCCAAGAAAAGGCCCTGGCAACACTGGATAGCCACATGTGAAAGAATGAAGCTGGTCTTGCTCTCTCTCACCCTGCATGATACCAATTCCAAATGGATCAAAGACCTTAATGTAAGACCTGGAATTCTGAATCTACCTGAAGAAAAGACATTAGGAAAGGACTTTCCGAATGTGACAAAAGTCCATCAGTAAATAAGATCAACCATTGACAAATGGGATCTCATGGAAGTAAAAAAAATTCTACGTGGCAAACAAAACCAAACCAACCAGTTCATCAAGTAAAGAGACAGTCTAAGAATGGGAGAAAAATCTTTGCTAGCAATACATCTGATAGAGGATTAATATCTAGAATACACAACACAAAAACTTAAAAAAAAAATCAAGCTGGGTATGGTGGTGCACAACTTTAATCTCAACACTAGGGATGCAGAGGCAGGCAGATCTCTATGAGTTGGAGGCCAACCTGGTCTACAGAGTAAGTTCCAGGACAGCCAAAGCTTCACAGAGAAACCCTGTCTCAAAACAGTTAAAGATGAGGGCTTTCATGGAAGTCCAAGGAACAGTTTGCAAGGGAGTGATTGGTTATTAGTTAAGAGAAAAAGGCTGGGGCTGGGACTGGCTATTGAGAAATTGCTAGCAGCCTTGGCCAAGGCTATTTTAATAAAGGGGCAGACCACTGAGAAGGAAGGGGACTGAGCTTACTGAAGGTGGGGTTATATGGCCCCCTTCAACACTGCCTAGTAGAGTTGTTTGGTGAATGTCAGTGAATGAATAAACTTGACTTGGAAAGGAAAGGGGGAATATGCACGTGGTAGAAAAAGTGTTGGAGGCAGGCGTATCTCTGTGAGTTCGAGGCCAGCCTAGTCTACAGAGCGAGATCCAGGAAAGGCGCAAAGCTACACAGAGAAACCCTGTCTTGAAAAACAAAACAAAAAACAAGAAACAAAACAAAAAGAAGTGGCAAAAAAAAAAAAACAAACAAGTGTTGGAGGAGTGTCCCATTTGAAAATGTTCACAGTGTGCTGGGCAGTGGTGGCACACTCCTTTAATCCCAGCACTCAAGAGGCAGAGGCAGGCGGATTGGCTATGCAAAGATCACTTTCTGAAAATTCTTAAACCACTACTGTTTCCCTCTGCCATCTGCAGATAATGTCACCGTCACTGCCTGTGACTCTCTCTATCTGCTACTTCAGCCTGGGGAAGAGGTGCCCCAGGGTGCTAGTGCCCCAAGCCTGTGTAATGTATGGAATGTTACCTCCCTCTTTACTGTTTTTCTCCATGACAGGCTACAAACATTTCCTTTTTTCTTTTTCTTTTTTTTTTTTCAAGGCAGGGTTTCTCTGTTTAGTCCTTGCTGTCCTGGAACTTACTTTTTAGACAAGGCTGGGCTTGAACTCACAGAGATCCACCTGCCTCTGCCTCCTAAGTGCTGGGACCAAAGGCGTGGGCTACTATTTCTGGCTTCTCTTTCATTTTTTTTTTTTTTTTTTTTTTTTTTTTTTAAGACAAGGTCTCATGTAGCCCAGACTGGCCTTCAAGTCAGTATGTAGCCGAGGATAACCCTGAACATTTGACTCTCCCTCCTAGGTGCTGGGATAACAGTGTCTCGACAGCTGGTTCCATGCTTCATTTTCTAAGGAGGGTGCTTCTCTAATTCCTCTAACAAGCTAACCCTAACCCTATAGTTCAGCGGCAGAACACTTGCTTAGCATGCATGAGGCCATGGGGTCCATCCTATGGAACCCTACAAACCTGTGGTCTGCCCGGGCCACACTCTGACCAGGCTCCACACACCTGGGACAAGTTGTGGCACTGCCCTCCCTGCCCAGTCCCTCCAGTTCCACTGAAGCTCTTCATCCCTCCTGTCTTGGCGGGTGGCCCTTGTTCTGCAGCCCCCTCCCCTCCCCCATTTTCACCACACTGATGCCATGGACCTCTTTGCCTCTGTCTCCTTGCCCCGCTCTCTGGAGAACAGCAGCTTGGTTTTTAAATCCCTGCATCCCCAGTCTGTGTCTGGGCGCAGCACCCCATCTTAGGAAGGTTAGTGACTGAATGCTCGGGGAGGTGGCTGCTGTCACTGCTGCCATTTTGTGCTCTCTCAGATATAAGCAGGTTGCCCAGCTGGAGGAGAGGACATCTGGCTAGTGTGGAGTCCAGCAGTGATGTGTCTTCCCTCTCCTCTGAAGGTGAGTCCAAGGGACCTATGGCCCCCAGAGGCTACATTACCCCTTATTTGTGAGAGCTAACACTTGGCGGAGGGAAGGGATCTTGATGGGATTACCCAGATGTCCCAGGGTCCAGTGAAATGGCTCATGGGTAAAGATGCTTGCTGATAACCTGACGACCTGAGTGTGGTCCCCAGGACCATGTCACACGGTGGAGGACCCAGCTGCCCCGTCCTTACCTTCTACAGTGCCAGAGAAGGCCCCTTCCTTGAGTCCTGAAGAATAATTTATGGTTCACAAACATGAACTGAGTCCTTCTAACCTTGCATAATAGCTATCCCTGTCCCATTCTGTGGATAAGGGAGGCTCAGAAAAGTGATTTGTCTTAGGTTAGTTACCCTATTAAGTGAAAGAGCCAAGCCGTGGGCATGACTGACTCCAGGCTCCTAGCATATGCCTCCATGCTGCCCTTTGCCTTCATTTAACAAGGTCCTGTGTACACACCCCTTCCTTCCCTGGGGAGAAAAGGCACAAGAGAAAGTGGGTGAGGGGTCCTGTGGAAACTCGTGGGAGAGAGGGAAGGCCTGCAGGAGAAAGCCTCAGACCGCTCACTGTCTTCTCTCTCATGCACTTTAACGGACATGGACACTTGGGGTTCCGTACCCTCTGCCTGGGTCAATGAATTCCTGCTGGAGGGTCTCCGTGAGATGTGGGGCAGGAGGCAGGGCTATTGAGAGGCATGTTTACCTTTAGATAGGAGCAGATGGAAATCAGGGGTCGCCTGGATCCCTAAGCAAGGTCAGAGATGAAGCACTGGGAGTCCCATGAAAACCTCATGTAGCTCAGGAAGAAGCGGGAACCTCCCCTAGCCCTGGAGGCATCCTCTCCCTGTGCCTGTGAAAAGGGATGCAGTATCACATTGCCTAATCCACAGACTGCCATAGGCCATGGCAGGTTGTCCAGCATTCTGTGGTTCTGGGAGGAGAAGGTGATGTTTAAAGCACCTCCCCCTTCCTGGGAGGCAGGGCTTCGCTGTGTAGCCCTGGCTGGCCTGGAACTCACTCTGTAGACCAGGCTGGCCTTGAACTCAGAGATCCACCTGCCTCCGACTCCTGAATGCTAGGATTACAGGCCTGAGCCACCACCGCCCTGCTTAAAGCAATTTTTAAAAAGACTGACTTGTGTGGGTGTGGCACCATGGCAATCTGTGGAGGTCAGAGGACAACCTGCAGCACTCAGTTCTTTTTACCTTCGGCTGCTAAGGACCTTCCCGCCCACACTGACTTTGATGAGTAAAGAGCAGGGACGGAATGAAGAGAGAAAGGTGTGTGGGGGGGGGGGGGCTGGGAGGAGAAAAGAAGGCAGACGGAAGAACCAGAACATGCAGGGCGCATGCTGTAGAGGCCTAACCACCACCCTGTGCCATTTGGGTGGAGGGCACCAGAGGCCACCTGGGCCTGTGCAGGGGCAGGTGTCAGAACCAAGGCTGCCACTGTGGGCTTGTCTGCCAGACACAAAGACATGGCCATTCCCTACCTGCACTGTGGAGTGTGGTGGCTGGTGACCAGCAGTTGGATCCACAGGAGAGAGGGAGTGATAAAGGTGACACAGAACAGCAAGGCGTCATCACCTCTGATCGTAACCGTTGTCGGGGACCAGGTGGCAGAGAAATTTGGTGAAGCATTAAGACTGAGGTGTGCCCGGCTGCCTCCAAATGACCCAGACCCCTCTTCCCTCAGGTGAACTCCAGGAGCCTGCCAGGTGCTGCTGGAAACGCCAGCAGTGTGCTGGACATACCATCCACCCCTTCTTGGACTGTGGCCACCACAACCGGCACATGCACGCTGTCAGCCACTGCGACTGTGAATCTAGGTGAGGGCCCCCTTCATGGGGGACCCATCCCCTTCAGGTTTCCCTCTTCAACTTTGGCCTGGTGCTGCCGGCCTAGCCCCAGCTTTTAAACCCTGCTCTGCTCCAAGAACAATGAATGGGGAGCTCTCTTGGCAGCCTGGGCCAGGCCCAGAAGCAGCTGGCTGTCCCTCTGGGCCCCTGGGGAGTCATGGAGGTATGGGAGCCAAGCTGAGAGTCTGGTGTGTGGCAGGCTGAAGGACTGCTCAGGGAAGACAAATAGTAGCAGATCCCGAGATGTAGGCCCGACCTGCTCCAGAGATCGGGGCTCAACCTGCTTCAACATCATCCATACCCCTTGCTTTGAATTCATCCCAGAGGAAGAGTGTGTGGAGCGGATCTGGTACAGCTGGTGAGTGCCAGCTGGCTATGGGGACAGGACTCCAGAGTGCCCTGCTTCAGCTCCATGAATTTCTTCCTGTCCCTTCCCCCAGGTGCAAAGGCTACAGGCCTCTCTCTGTGGCAGTAATCCACCATCCCATTCATCATGTGTGTAGGACAGATAACCTACACGAGAAGGAGGATGAAGAGGATGAAGAGGAGGAGGAAGAGACCCCACCTTCCATCCCAACTCAGTTGTGCCCCACTGCCATACCTACTGACCCAGACATCGGGTCGGTCACCAGGACTCCCGACTCAGCAGCGCCCATCACCATCTGGCGTTCTGAGAGCCCCACAGAAAAGAGTCAGGAGGGCAAGGCCATCAAGAAGGTAAAAAAGAAAAAGGAGAAGGAGAAAGACAATGAGGATGAGATAGTGGATGAAAAGGCAAAGGTGAAGAAAAAGGTCAAGGGCAAGATAATTAAGAAGAAAAGCCCGGCAAAATCGGAGTCTTCCCCTCCAGACTTGAGCCGATCACTAAGCCCAAGAGAGCTAGTCAGGACGTCAGAGTCCAGCCCAGAAAGTCGGGGAGAGCTGGAGAGTGAGGACAGTTATGAACGGGGTAAAAAGGAGCCCTCCAGCGAAGACATTGTGGAGTCATCACCCAAGAAGAGAGAGAAGAGCACCTCCCAGGCCAAAAAGAATGGGACAAAGACCTTACAAACCAGGAAAACGAGCAAGAGAAAATCTCCCCCAGTGTCCAACCCCAATCTCAGCTGAGGCCAGGGCAACCAGAGTGAATAAATCAAGCCTGTAACTGACCCCTACTGCTATTCTCTCTCCCTCCAACAGGGCCTCTTCTTGTGGGAGGTGGCTGGCTCTGGGCCTACTAGAGCCAAGGGGCCAGGGGTCAGGGGATACTCAGGGGCAATCCTGCTTTCAAGGAGGAAGTCTATGTCTACGGGAAGTTAGGTAGGAGGGAGAGAGAACCCTCCTAGGACCAGGTGGCAGAATCATCTGGAGAGGAAATGGGGTGTGGGAGACCAGCCCTGTGTGTGAACACCCACTCTGTAGTGGGCAGCACTGTGCAGCACCACCTTCAATAAACTGGACCTGCCACTCACTCGGCCTGCCTTTCCCTCCTCGAGTGGCCCAAGGGGTGGGCTGTGGCACCATGGAGGACATGACCTTCCCAGCTGGTGCAGTCCCAGCCCTTCCCACCCTTGCAGCAGATAGACCTGTTATGCTGGAGAAAGTAAAGCGTTCTCACAGCAGGCCAGCCCTTTCCCACCAACACAACAAAAGACGAAGAAAAGCGGGTATGAGCTCAAATGCAGGCAGCAGTGGCGGCCCAAGCAGAGACAAAGGGGGAGGCTTTACTCTCCCACACTGAATCACCAGGAGATGAAGCCTGTGTGAAGAACAGGGAAATCAGACACGCAGACTAAAGACTGCGGAAGGAAGCAGAGCCAGGGGGCTGGCTGATCCTGAGCCAGGGGGGGCGAGGGTGGGAAACAGCCCTCTCCCATGGCCTGTGTGTCTGAGGGTGAGCAGGTGAGGGGCCCATTCTGGGCAGAGAACTGACTTCTCAGCGGCTGTCAGAGACCAAGCTGGGAAATGAAGGGGTGCCCAGGGGCTCACAGGGTTACTTTTCTCCACTGTGTGAGAAGATGAGAACACCACAATAGTTTGGTGGCCCTGGCCCAGCATTTCCTATTGCCCTGTGTGTGTCATCACCTCTTGGTCACAGATGGGACAGCCAAGCTAAGACAAGCAGCTGCTGGAGAGACAGCCCAGCAGTCAGGAGCACTTCCTGCTCTGGCAGAATACCTGAGTTCCCAATACCCATGCACGGTGGCTCAGAGCCGCCTCTCACTCCAGCTTCAAGGGAGCCAAAGCCCTCTTTTGGTCTTCTGTGAATACACCCACACATGCACATGCATAATTAAAATTAACCAGGGGTGGTGGTGCACACCTTTAATCCCAGCACTCAGGAGGCAGAGGCAGGTGATCTCTGAGTTTGAAGTCAGCCTGGTCTACAGAGTGAGTTCTAGGACAGTCAGGGCTACACAAAGAGAGACCCTGTCTCGAAAAACCAAAAACCAAGAAAAACAAACCAGAAAACCCTTAAGCACACGTGTGTCACTCCTGCAATTCTAGCATTCAGGAGGCAGAAGCAGGATTACTGTAACTCCAAGGCCAGCCTGGGCTAGAGACTCCACCTCAACACAGCTAACAAAAGATGTAAGAAGTCCACACAGGGTCATGGGGCTCAGAGCAGGGAGGTGACCACAGGCAATCTGAATCCTGGCCTCTGATGGATTATGAGGGGAAGTTTTTGGAGTTTCAAACTGCTCTGAAGCAACCCTTCAGAGCAGGGAGCTGGAGAGAGGCCTCGGCAAGTGCTCTGTAGAAACACTGTTTATTCAAATGACAGGTGAGAAGCAGGTGGCCATGGGTAGATGAGGATAGGTAGGCAGGGCTGGCAGGTCAACACTGCTCCTTACGTCCCCCACAGTCCTACTTTGACAGCCAAAGTACTGACATCAGGACCCTCCTCTCCCGCCTGCCTCAAACTGAATAAATAGCATCGTCTCCCCAGGAAGGCTGGGGACATGTACAAGTCGAGCCTGATGCCCCATTCTAGCCTGTGTCAGGTGAGGGCAGAAAGTCAAAAATGGCTTCCAGGGAGATTACAGACTGCTCCACTTTCATTCTCCTCCCCTGCTACATTCCTCCCTCAGCCTGGTCCCAGGACAGGTGGTTGGCACAGGTCTGGAGTGGGACAACTGCTCCTTGGTGCATACCAGCTCACAAGGCCATCCAGCCTGCCACCCATCCAGGCTGACCATTAAAGAGAATGTCATTTCATGCCACTTTATGGACAAAAAAAGAGGGGCAGGGAGTGAGGCTGTAGGTGGCCAGGCCTCTTGGAGCCTCAGAGGTAACCAGAGTCCGAGGAACAGGCCCCCTACCGATCCATCTCGTCCAGGAGTGGGGTCGCATCGCCAGCAATGGACATGGGGGTGCTTTCGATCATGGGGCTGGGAGAGGGTCGAGGGGTCAGCCGCTGTTTCTGTTTCCGACGTTCTGCCTCCTTCTCCTGTAGCCACTGTTCGGCCATCTTGCCCCAGTCGATGGCTGCATGGCTGTTGGACCTGGAGCAGAAAGGAAGGGCCTTAAGTGACAAGGTTCTTCTGTGATTTGTGAGAAGGACCTTCCCCCCAGTCACAGCAGAGACCACAGAAGGAACCTGACTCACACAGGAAGCAGCCTCTCTCCTGCTTTCCCATTCTTCCCCGGAACCCATTTCCCAAGGGCACATCTCCTAGGTCTTGGCATTTAAGAAGACACAGACTGCCTGATTCTGCTAAGTCTTCAGGCCACATGGCACCCCGCCCACTAGTAATCCACCTGTGTGTGCCCCTCTCCACGGACTTACTTTGGCTGCTGCTGCCGTTGTCGGGAGCTGGAGGAAGGCTGGGGCTGGGCCTGGGTGGACTGTGGGGTGGTGCTGGCCTGGAGCTGGTGGTATTGTGGGGTGGTAATGGGCTGGCTTGGGGTCGTGTAGGAGTAGCTGGGGGTCATTAGTGGTGTGGCCACCGGCTGCTGGGCTGGCGTTGGGAACACCTAAAGAGGGGTGGACAGAGAAATAGGGGTATGGTGTGGGCTTGCTTGACTTCACTGTGAATCTCTGACAGGCCAGAAGTGGTATTTATTTGGGAGAGTAAAGAAAAGCAAGGATAGCACCAGCATACAAAATTGTCCACTAATCTTTAACACCTCAGATGACTTGAGGGTTCCAGATATCCCATAGGGCTCTGTGCAAAGGACAGGCCCTTCACTTCTTACTCCCTTCACTGTCAAAGGTGTGGAGATAAGGAACACCTGCTAAGAGACGGTTCCTAGGCCTGAGCACAGGAAGCAGCTCCTGGTGGTGGCCATGGCCAAAGGTGTCTACAGCATCTGAGTCTGTAGGTAAAAGATGATTGCTCCCTCTCCTCCCCTCCCGAAAACACATACATGGTAGGCGCTGCTGCCTCCTCCACTGCCACCGTAGCCATACTGGCTGGAGGCCCACTGGGCTGGGGTAGCATTGGGGTTCTGGCCCTGCCCTGTCACAGCAGCAATGGCATTGAACATCTGCGAAGTCATGTTCTGAGGCAAGGCATTCACAGCCCGTGTCAGATCTGTAAACACAGAGTAGGTCATGTTAGGGTGCAAATCCCTCCGACTCCCTACTGCCCTACAAGTCTCAGCCCCAAGCATCCCACCTGCAAGATTGATGTTGGCTGGGGTAGCATTGATAGAAGCAGGGGTCCGAGTCCTGCTGCTGCTGCTGGGAGTGATGCCTGTAAGAAACAGATGCAGTCAGTTATGTTCCTCAAGAAAGCTACTCTGGCTTCCCAGTTCAAGAGTCAGAGGTATGGGGCTGGAGAGATGGCTCAGCGGTTAAGAGCACTGGCTGTTCTTCCAGAGGTCCTGAGTTCAATTCCCAGCAACCACATGGTGGCTCACAACCATCCGTAATGAGATCTGGTGCCCTCTTCTGGCCTGCAAGCATTCATGTAGGCAGAACACTATATATGTAATAAATAAATAAATCTTTAAAAAAAAAAGAGTCAGAAGAGGTTTAATCCCAGCACTCAGAAGGCAGAGGCTGGTGGATCTCTGTGAGTTCGAGGCCTGCCTGGTCTAGTGAGTTCCAGGACAGCCAGGGCTGTTACACAGAGAAACCCTGTCTCAAAAGACATAACAAACACAATGAAGTCAGAAAGGAGAGGAAGTGGGTGGAAGAGAAGCTGCACAGCCAGTGGGCGGAGGGCCTCCCCGCTGCTCAGAGCAGGAGCGGGGCGAAGCAGCTGACCCATAACTGACTTCACCTTCCTGGGCCAGGACCCGTGTCCCTCTCACCACAGCCAAGGGCAGGGTACAGCAGAACTCACCTGGTACAGGATCCTGATAGTGATCCTTAAACCACCTGAAGAGTCCATTCACAGTTGGGAAGATCTGGCCCCGGTACCGGAATCCTTCAGGAGTCACTGTTACATATTCTATCCTGAGATTTTGTAAGGAAACAAGCATTAGATATTGCTTATTTAGCTAGTTTTATGTCAACTCGACACAAGCTAAAGTCACTGGAGAGGAGGGAGCCTCAGTTGAGAAAATGCCTCCATAAGACCGGGCTGTAGTGGGCCAGAGAGATGGCTCAGTGGTTAAGAGCACTAGCTGCTCTTCCAGAGGTCCTGAGTTCAATTCCCAGCACCCACATAGTGTCTCACAACCATCTGTAATGAGATCTGGCACTCAGGCAGAACATTGTATACAAAATAAATAAATAAATCTTTAAAAAAAAAAAAAAAAAAAGACTGGGCTGTAGGCATGTAGGGCATTTTCTTAATCAGTGATTGATGTGGGAAGGCCCAATCCACTGGGGCCTCCCCTGGGCTGGTGGTCTTGGGCTCTGTAAGAAAGCAGGCTGAGTGAGCCAGTAAGCAGCTCCCCTCCATGGCCTCTGCATCAGCTCCTGCCTCCAGGTTCCTGCCCTTTTTGAGTTCCTGTCTTGCCTTCCTTCCACGAACTATGATATAATAAACCCATCCCCTGCCAACTTGCTTTCGGTCATGATGTTTCACTTGTGGTCACCTGTGAGAAAGTGACCAAATAAGTGTCAGCCACGTACACAGCCGTACTGGATGCTGGCGGAGGGAGATGACGGGGAGGCTGCACATGACAGCACCATCAAGGGTAAGGTGCAGTGGCCTTGTGTGCTGAGGCTGCCCTGGAGAGGGGGTGTCTTCACTGAAGACAGCATGCTACATGAGAGGAGACCAAGGTTACAGGACATGAGGTGGGAAGAGGCCTCGCTGGGCAGCTCCAGATAAGCAGGGAGAATTCTTTAGCACTCTAGAAGGTGGCTAGTCTGCCCTCATTCACTACTTCTGATGGTAGCAGAGTGGCTAGGAGGACGGGCCTTACCTTAGGCCTGGTTCTAGTTCTAAATTTGAGTTCTGCACTTACCACCTATGTGACTGTACCAAGCATAACCGCCCCTAAGCCTAAAGGGCGGCGGTCTCAAGTATCCAAGGCAGTCACCATACCTAAACGCAGTGCTGTGCTCACTCAAGAGCCAGCAACCGAGACAATGCTAAGCATGGCCAAGACCTCTGTTGTGCAGTGTTGGGTTCACGAGGTCCGTGGAAAGAAGGAACAGAGGCACTCCAGGATGAATTCTAGCTTTCTGCACCTGCAGGGAAGTTAACCTCTTGCAAACTGACTGACTATAGCTTAGTAAAGGGTTTTTTTAATTGTTATACAATTCATACTTTTAGCAAGTCAATTTCCATATACGGAAACCTCTCATCTAAGCTCACCAAAGAGACAATGCCAATTCGAATTCCAAAGTTACAGACATCTCAGTTTGTTGAGTCCTCTTATAACCAGGTTTTGCATAGGCTTTGAACCTTTAGGAAACTCTCAGATAAGATTTATATACTTCAAACAGAAGGTACCAGACACAAAAGGCAGCAGTCACAAAAGGCAGATCAAGGCTAGGTGCTAACACTCTGGAATCAAACCAGCTGCAGATCACTGCAGGATCTCCCCTAACAGGCCTCAATTATACTCAACCAAAAATTGTTTTCTATCTATTGTTCCAGGTTCTCAAATTTCTCACGTGGTTTTTTTAAAAAAAAGATTTATTTATTTATTATGTATACAGAAGAGGGTGCCAGATCTCATTACAGATGGTTATTAGCCACCATGTGGGTGCTGGGAATTGAACTCAAGACCTCTGGAAGAGCAGACAGTGCTCTTAACCTCTGAGCCATCTCTTCAGCCCCTCACGTGGTCTTTGTGAGACATTTACAGTCTCACAGGGCCCTGGCTGCCTCTCTTAGAGTGCCTTCCAGAGAAGGCACTGATGCGGTAGGACAGGCATCTCAAAAAGAGCATGATGTTCCAGGTGCCACAAGGTCCCAGAGCCCCACCAAATGGTCCAAGCTACGTATCACACGTGGCCAGTACAAGGCTAGAGCACTAACGTCCTCTGCGAGGGTAGGATGGCTGGTGCCAACAGACCTAAGTAGATCAACCTAAGGAAACAGGACAGGGTGAGCTAGAGAGGTGCAGGAAAAGGAATGCCTCAGGAAAAGCAGCCTGCCAGTCGCACACGGAAGAGAACAGAGTAGGAGACACATCTACCACACCCACACTCAGTAGGACACAAGAGATACACATTGTGGCATCAGTGAGCCACCATGTGCTGAAAGTTCTGCCAAGATGAAGAA